TCTACTCCTCAAATCCTCATGTGACTCTAGGCTCAATGATTAAAAACACATCTCACTTTGCACAAATATATATTTATAAATTGTGTCTTCTTTTTGTTCTTCTTTTTTGAGCTAAGTGCCATACATCCCTGGTGTTTATTATTCCCCTGAAAGTCATCTTCATAACGATGGATGATGCCAATTAGCAGATGAGTAAACGAGTGCATAGAGATGTCCTTTCCTGCCCTCAGTCTCCTTGTTCTCTTGCCCTTTTTCATATTGTGATATTTCTCCTTTTTTCTATTTCTCTTCTCTCTGTCTCTTCCCCAACACCTTTCTGTCTCTCTCTCTCTCTCTCTCTCCCTCCGTCTCTCAATCTCTGTCTCTCTGTGTGTCTCTCTCTGTCTCTCTCTCTCTTTCTCTTAATTTCTATTTCTGTCTTTCGTTTCAATTCATTTTGTTGCATTTTTCAGTTCTGAATACGTAATAAAAATCAGTACAAATTCAAAGATATGTGAAGAAATATGAACTTATTTAAAAAAAAACAGAGCTGGCCAGGGCTTCAAGATAAACAAAGCTTGATGCCTTGTGGACCCTGACAATCAAATACAAGCATCTTGGTGCAACTCTCTCTTACCCAACACCTCGCTCTCTCTCTCCCTCTCCCTCCTTCTCTCTCTCTGTCTGTCTGTTTCTCTCTCTCACCTCACCTCCTCTCTCTCTGTCTCTCTCTCTCTCTCTGTCTCCTCCTCTCTCTCTCTGTCTCCTCCTCTCTCTCTCTCTCTCCTTCTCTCTGCCTACTTTTTGTCATTTGTATACTAGTAATGTAGGAGATGCTTCAACAGATTGTGTATCACATGGTTTGTGGTTCGAGTCACACCCTGGAACTCAAGTCCTTTGGCAAGACATTAATCTACATTTGCCACCCTCCATCCAGGTGAAGTAAATGGGTACAGGAAGGAAGAAATTCCTTGAATGCTTCAGCGCCTTATAATGGCGGCTCCGTTATAGGAGGGGTGATAATATTATACTTTGTATTTGGTGCAGTAGAGTACCGGTATATTCATATAGTAGCTGCGCTATATAAATGTCTGTTTAAATTTTGTATTATAATTATTATAATACATTGCAAGTTTAAAACAATCATTGATATCTAGCCTTATAAAACTAACACATAACTAACACTCTGCAGAAATACTGCTAGGACATGCTGCCTATACTAACCTGATCTCAACTGCACTTTCTCAAACACCAAGCAAAATCAATCCATCAAACTACCGTCTATTATTAAAAAGAAGAAAAAAACCCAAACTTGTCCATGAATATATTAATTCCTTAATCATACTAATCCCCCACTTTTCCTTTTCTCCTTCCCCTCTATAAACAAACCATTTATATCACAGCCTATTACAGTTATTGGTGCTGACAATTTAGGGACGTCAGTAGTGGTTTCCGCACGAGCGCCGGTCCCGTACCTTTGGCTGCCTCACATACGGTGGGCGCGCTACGCACGAGAGATCTCTATTCAACGTTAAACAATGCCCTCTGAGCAAGCACAATGGACCACCAATCTGTAAATGTTTTTCCCATTCTCTCCCTTTCACCATCCTAGAATAACACAGACTCCTCCATGGGCACACTTACATCACAAGAATAACTATCACCGTCGATAATAGGAGCCGTAAAGCAGCAACCATTAGCATATTACTTGTTAAAACCAATCTCAACATGTCCTCTAAAGCGATGCCCACACATCGTTTTCAAATCAAATAAATTGCTTCTGATGTCGATTGACCCTGAATGCTTGCCTATGCATCTTTTAAGACTCAGCCAATCGCATCACGTCACCCTCATAGTGCAGATTTCCATCAAGAAGCACCGTTCAATTTTAATAGGTGGTAATCTATCACTCACCAACACACTTTCAAGAATCCCAGGCAAGGCCGATACCTCAACGCTCAATCAATCGTGTCAAATAATTTCAATTAATCTCACTCCGATTTTCATTAATCTGCCCTCCCTTTTGACTCTATATCTGAGGAGTTAATTGTCTGTAATCTGCGAAGCTCAATTGACACCAGCTCCAGAGAGTATCGCAAACAATAAATGTCTAGAAATTGTTCAAAATTATTGATGATACCGTATTAGTTGATGAGGCTGTTTTGGAGGCTCATATAAAGGACCAAGGATGAAGGGAACAATGGACTATGTATTTTATCAGCTAGAGTGTTTGGGGGTTCTAGTATCTTTTTTTATTGGAGGAATAATTAATAGCAATAATGGCAAAAAGCATTCCATGGTCGAATGGGTTTTATTTTTTAGTCAAGATGAAATAGTCATGGAAGGTTGAACCATCTCTTAACTTACACCATGGAACCAGGCCAATTAGATGAGTGTTACTAAAACGTCCTCCATCACGATCGATGCACGCAGGTAAAATATCTCTTTTGAACAGAATAATCAGTAACTGATTAAAGATCTATTTCCTCACTTAACCCCTAGAGAGCGACTTAGTTTATGAACTTGTGTCACAGACATGAAAAATCATCACACCAGTCTTTCATCTTCTTTTACTACTTTAATTGATCTTAACTGAATCACTCATAAAAATTTTCATCATTTCTAAGAGAAAGACAAGATTGTATTTTACAAAACATATTAGTATCTGTATCTATATAAGCAGTCTCAGGTAGGGAAAGTGTTAAAAATGTAATTGAAAATTATTCAAAAAGTCTTGCTCTTGTGTACAATTTCTTCTGAAAAATATTGGAAATTTTGAACCAAATCAATGCCTCCCCCTCTTACTCTCTCTTCCCCTCTCTCTCTCTCTCTCTCTCTCTCTCTCTCTCTCTCTCTCCCTCCCTTTCTCTGTCTCTCTTTCTTCCCTTTCCCTCTTTTCTCAACCCAGGTGTGGTTAGCAGGTACTTCATTAAAAACAAAAACCAAAAACCGAAAAACTCTTTGTTTCCTCAGTCCACAGCCAAGCAAGATGACGATTACCCACTCAAAATGGATCAACGTGAAGATGTCATCACTGCACAATTTTCAAATGAACTACTAGCATCATTATCAACAATAAAATTGTGCACGATAATGTCTCAATTTCTCAGAATATAAAAAATAAATGCGCCTGAAAATGTCAAACTCTCTCCATCAACCCACTTTCTGCTCGCATAAATAAAAAGGCATGAATGCATCCATGATTAGAATCATATTTGTGGGTTCAACCCTGATATCATGGAAATACACCAGTGAAAATACAATTGGTAATTATTTCTTTGTCATCTCCCACAGTTTCACTTAACTAATTGATGCTCTAAATAATGAAACACCTTGTGTAAAAACACAAAAAGAATCAGTGTGTCCCTAACAAAAACCCCTAGCTCATTTAATCTAAACTCATATAAATAGAATATGCGTGTCCTTGCATTTTGTATAGAGCCAAAAGGATAGCAACTTCCGATGCTAAATTGATTAAAATTTCCCTCACACGGTTCAGAAAAAGTGGCCTCTTTTAATGAAAAGCATACATTTTTAAGCACAAGCACTGAACATGTATTAGATATATTTTGTTCACAACTTGCAAAAGGATAATGAAATTGTCCATTTTCCTTTCTTCTGGATCCTCTCCTTTTGACATTTTCACCCCTAATGCTTTATCAATGAAAATCCGTTGATTGAATTCTAATGAATCTCTGAATTTAGAAAAGTATTTCTGATTGAAATTTTCAATATTGAATGAACCCACCTGATTGTTTTCAAGTCACGTACATATATATCAAGTTGAATTGAAACTAGACCTTTGACTGCACAAAGTCAAAAATAATGCATACGCCTAACGCGATTTAACAAACCAAAACAGAAGCAATCTGTAAGACTACGGTTTAATTGTAATCCATTATCAGGTTCTCAGAATATTGTGATTACAAGCTGAGTTTGACGGTAATTTGTATATTGGTTCTAATAATAAGGAGATCATGAGCTATTTTTGTATACATAATGAGCCCTGTGATCTTTGACCTTTGACCTTGTGACCCCAAAATCTAATCAGATCATTGGCTTAGCAAGATACATACATGACCTAAGTTTGGCAGGAATCCATCAATCAGTTCTTCACATAACGCGATCATGAGAACGGGACGTACGGACGGACAACCCGAAAACATAATGCCTCTGGCTACTTTGTAGCAGAGGCATAAAATCCGACAAGATATCTACCAGTATCTCTTACCTATTTTCGAAGACATCCATAAATAATGTCATTTTCCTTGAATTTCTAAAATGATTTCAATATTTGATGAGAGATAATCGAAGAAGAATTGGATTTTCATCTTCTTTTAATTTTTGATTTTATAGCATTACATAGAATTCAAAAGTATTAATCTGTATAGATAGAAATTTGTGAAGATAACAAACAAATGTATCGTGTATGTTTAAATGATGTCTAAATTTTAATGTTATCCACCCTGCGAGGATCATTAATCTTGTTGAATCAGAGGTTTTCATAAAGGCATCGCTCAACAATGATAAATCTGAGCTGCATGACCCTACGTGTTATCAGTGTCTGTGATATGATGTCACATTGAAGCCCTAAAAAAATTGCGCTTCAAAATGATCATGAAGTGCCTCAAAGAATTAAAAATCTTTGAGTGACTGGTTTTTACCATACTCATTTCACCCAAAAGACTGTAGTGTTATAAAAACCTTTGGGAAAAAGGACAATTTTATTTTGATTTCTAATCATAAATATCTTGATAATCAGACAGGAGATCGCTTTTAAAAAAATGGGGTTCTTGACTGACCTAAAGGTTTATAATTATCATCGCAGCATGAGCTAAATCCAGGATTTTGTTTCAGAATCCGAGCCAATGTTGCGGAGTCACTTTGAAAGTGTTGTCCTGTATTTTCTTCATTCAAGATGGCTGACATCCCTCCCATTGAAACGTTTGCAAACTTTTAATATGACAGCTTTGCGAAATAATTCCCAGAAACCATGTACAAAACAATGTATAAAAACTCACTGTTTTCTCTTGGTGCCCCTTCCATTGGTGTTGCCTATCCTGTCATGGATGTTAGAGGGCGCTTCTCGCAGTCCAAAGCTCTTGGCAGCATGACCCAGGTGAAGCTTCTTGATGTGCAGGATGTGTTTGAGGGATGACGGGTATGTGGCGTACGCACGGATGAAGGAGTGAAATGCTGTGAAGGTAACAAAGATAACATTCCTCTCATGATAAATTCAGTGTTATTCTGTTTATAAGAGGAAAGGGAGAAGAGCTAAAGTATTCCTGAGATTCAGAGCATTAGAAAAAAAGGAAAATAAAAATAGTCTCTCTCAAAACATTTGAAGCTCACTATTTCTGTTTACTATTTCATTCTCTTTCTCTTTCTTTCTCTCTCTCTCTCTCTTTTTCTCTGTCCGTCTCTTTCTTAAAACATTTTCGGGAATAAAGATAAATGTAAACTTTGAAATTAGCGAATGTGCCATCCATACGCGCGAACCATTCACAGCAAAAATTAGGAATCTCTCAAGGCAAAATTAGGAATACAAAATAGCCTCTATTTTGAATACTTTTATACAGAATTTTTCAGAAAAAGAGAGGAATATAGGATTTAAAACAACATCTTAAAGGCGAAAAAATAGAAATGGTTTGCAGCTATGGTGCCATACAGTCCATGGTAAAGATTAGAGAAAATGTGAGAGTCTCGAGGGAAAGAGAGAGGGAGGGAGGGAGGGAGGGAGGGAGAGAGAGAGAGGGAGAGAGTGAGAAGAGAGAGAGAGAGAGAGAGAGAGAGTGAGAGAGAGAAAGAGAGAGAGAGAGAGAGAGTGAGAGAGAGAGAGAGAGAGAGAGAGAGAGTCAGAAGGAGAGAAATAGAGAGAGATTTTACTTCCCCATGAGCAGCCCCAGAGCTTACCTTTCCTAGCTTGCTGTGTGTGCGCTGTGTTAGTGAGGACATGATTCTCGTATCTCAGCTGGAGGTTGGTAGCCGCTTCCTCTACGGATCGCTGCCTCTGACCCTTGAACTGTCCATGGATGAAGTCCTGAGCTTCGGAGGTCATCAGGCTGGACAGGATGTCGTCCAGTGGCTGCTCTTTGATTCTAAGATTAAGAAACCAAACCATACATGAATTATTGATTTCTTTGAAACAACTTGATTGATTCAATAAAATGTCTTATTTACAGCGTATTTCCAAACTGACTTGGTTTATGTGCTTCATTATGGCCAAAACCATCATTTTATTTCACTCCAGATAGTTATTTGTCAAGATTACCATTTTAAATGGAGAAATTACACAAACAAAATGAAAGGCTCAGGACAAACCCCCTCCTTTTCTGTTATAAACTTTCCAAGGATAAACAGGTCATTGCCTCCATCTTGTAAAATGCCCCATTCAAAAGAGATTTATGTTTTGATTTTGCAACATATTTTTTCTGTCAATACAAATTTAAAACATATTCATAACATGGGACAATATATATATATATATATATATATATATATATATATATATATAAATATATATATTAAGAGATGTTTCAAGATGATGGGGTACAACATTAAGCCTGGGTTAAGATACTGATTCCTACTCTGCCAGTCCGATTGATTGCATAGAAGGCAGTAGGTTTGTGGTTATTTCCTGAAATGCATACCGGTATCCAAATTTTAAGCTGTAACATTAATAACAAATACTAATAATCGTTCATATTAAGTGCTTTTACAGAATACTGATCAGAGTGCTGATACAATAAAAACAAAAAATGTGCTTAAAACAATTAAAGTAAGTAAGTAAAGTATAAGCTTATTAGCTTGGTTTTTACTTGTACTAACAAGTGCTTTGTCCACACACCATTCCAGCAATTCATGACACTCCTTGTAGTTACTCGCCTCACCTACCATCCCAGTATAGCTTCCTGAGGGAGCTGCCAAAGGGATTACCCAACCAAGTACCAAGCATTGAACACTATTAGTTGATCAAGCTCACCTGATTTGCTGTTCCTCCAGTATCCTGATATATTCTACTTCTGATGGGGCTAGAAAGAGTAGGGCTTGTCCCTCTTTACCGATCCGAGCTGTCCTGCCGACACGATGAACGTAGTCAGCTGCAGACCCTGGTATGTTATACTAAAATCACAAGACAGAAAACGTAAGCTATGAGGTACTTTTCCAAGCATTTACTGAATTCATTAATATCATCATCGGTTGTCCTTCTTATCATATTTGTATATTTTGTGACTTTATTTGCTCAGTCAAACCTGCTTTTAAGTGACGACCTGTCTACAAAGACCACATTTTTCTTTCCCTTGAAAAAGATTTCTCATTGAAACATGTACTCAATGAACCTGTACATAAAGACCACCTGCCTAAAAAGACCACTTTTCTTGTCTCCCTTGGGTGGTCTTTATAGACAGGTTTCAGGGTACATGTATATAAATCTCCATCATTTCTCTCTCTCTCCTTCCCCTCCCCTCTCTAACTCCCTTTCTCTCCACCAATATATCAGATGCTCTCATCAGCCTCTTCAATCCCTTTCTTTTTGAACACGTAACATCAACGCTTCAATACATGAATGTCAATTTTCCCATGTACCTATTGATTAAAAATCTCTTACATTTACAATGTACATATCAATTGTGAGTTACATAGTGTAAATTTAACTCTTTCATTGTAAACCGTAACTCTTTCTCTCTTTCTTACCTGTACAATCCATTTAACTTTTGGCAGATCTAACCCCCTTGCAGCCACATCCTATGAGAAACAAAAAGGTAATAGGGGGTTGGAACATGCTTTGTAACAATTCTCAGTTCCATGTTTAACACAAACATTAATATTCAGTTCATTCCAATTTCATCCAAGCTGATTTGCATTATGGGTTTGTAGAGTAGTGTGCACAACTCATCTGCACTCATAGAAATATAATATCTATCAATCTCATCTTTTCACTTGTGATACTTTGAAGGCACAAGAAAATAAAACTTAAGATACAGTGCAACTGCATATTAAGTGACAAATTATTTGTCATTTATTCAGTACCACTGTCTTTTAATAAATGTTGAAGTGCCACACATGAGGAAATTCATACGTGCTTGATTATTTTCTGCTTCCTAAAACTGTAATTTCAAGGAAATCTTTTACACCATCATGATATAAAACATTCAGTGAGATAAACCATGAGGTGTTGTCATTTTGGGGTTATCCCGACTATGGATCACTAAAAGTAGCTTCAAACAGTTCACTGTGCAACACTATCTATAAGGTAGCCTTTATTAGCGTATGCTGATTAGTAAAATTAATATCATACCATTAAATAAGAGCAAGACTTACTGTACACAAGAGGACGCCTTTCCGTGCTTCACTAAATGCATGATACATCTTTATTCTGTCCTGTAAAATACACACAAAACACATGATTTAAGCCACTTGAGAAAAATCAATATTCAATTAACCCTTTGACTTCTGAATTCTGTAATTCCCATTGGCTTATTACAGGAAAACCTGGTTCCTGTTGGAAAAGGGTTAACATACATTTCCAGTAGACTGAAGTATACTCAACACATCTGGCATAGTGATTCACATTAAAATCATGATTTTCTCTTCCAGTTATAAAAATAACATGAATACATGCAAGAACATTAATCTTTTATATTGTGAATGCTACACAATTAATAAATTTGTACTCATGTATCATCAGACACCATACTCTGTAATATCATATTCTTATGTAATCATTGTTATATTATTAAACTATAATATTAGAATATAAACATTTCTAAAACCAAATAATTACCGGTTGAGACATACTGCCATGAAGTCTGAATAGTGGCATCCCCTCTCTCTTTGATGCTGTCCCATCCTCTTTGAGAATGGAACATCCCTTGCAGGCCTGGAAGAGTGTGTAGTGAAAGTCGACCGATTCACAACTTGAGAGGAAGACCAGCATCTTACATCCCGAGGGACTCTAAAATATCAAAAAGATTTTTTTTTTTTAAATTACATATTTTACAATTTAGGACAGTAATAATTACTGTGACAGTTTTGATTCGGAACAGGTCAACTAGAAGACTGTAGAAATGGTTAAAATAATTTCACATTCAGAAATTGGTATGCTACAAAGCCAGACAAGTTTGTATTATAAATTTCTCATGTGAATGACACAAAACACTACCTAAATTCAATCACACAAGCGGTTCATATGTTCTTTATCTTCTATTATGAATGATATGTATGTGTATCATATCAATGTTGATGGGTATTAAAATTTTACCAATTGCACAAATAACAAATCATCTAGACTTAAACCTCAAAAGTCATTAAATATTATCAACTGCTAGCCCCACCCCCCCCCCCCATATCAAATCATCAGGATGTTACGATATTGATTGTTTAGTAGTGTTAAAAACAAACAGTACCATAGCCCTTACAAAATAACAGGGGGTGAACTGTGAAGAGAAACATAAAACTCATAGTATGAATAAAACATTTAGCATTACCGGGGAAGAAGTATGTTTTAAGGGATCTTTTGAAATTGACAAGACACTAATTCTCGAATAGAAAGGGGGATACTGTTTCACATTTCCGAAGCAGTCACTGTTAAACACTAAGACCTATTTAAGGCCTTGTCTTCTTAAAGTGATTTGATATACAGTATGCAGCTTAATGATACCATAAACCAAAAACTGGAAATTACAAAGTCAATGCACTGTTTAAAGCCCCACTGCACAACTTTAGCTACTTGCTCCCTCTATATAGATGCCTAATCAGTGACCATTGGTCCCCAATGATCCTCTTTTTTTCAATGTTAATTGAGAGCTGAGTTGATGAGATAACCACCTGCCAGTGACCTTTCATGGAGGTCTAATCCCTCCTGGCCAAACTAGTGCAGAGGGGCTTTAAATGATTCATGTTACTATCCCACATACCTTAAACCCGCCTGCTACTAGGGCTGTGAGAGCCACCAGTCTAAGCTTGCTGGGTACAATCGCAAACTGCTGCTTCAAGCGTTCTGGAACGGAGAACATCTCCGCATCTTCACCAATCTCTCCTTCACCAGTCTCTTCGGCCTGTGACCCGGTCTTTGCAGGCTTCAGCTGTTCTTCTGTTGATGAAGACGAAGCCGACCATGGCGCTGGAGGCAACGCTTTGTCTAATTGGTGTTTTGCAACATCGATGAAAACAGGGTCCTTCAACGTGATGTTTGCGAGTCGTTTCACACCTAAAGATGACAACAGGGGGGTAGCCTTAAAATAAAATATATTCAATAGTGCAAATTCAAATTTTTTAGACTTTTTATAAATTCCACATCAAGACCATGAAATCTCCTTGATAATAGAAATCATGAAGGATTTGAATCAATATGTTATGCCTTCTAAAATAAATTTTACAAAACATTTTCATAGATGCTAACGGCTTTCCATAATTGTTAAGTCCAACTTAGAGGTAAGTTCAACTTAGGATCTATGTGAAACACCCCCCAGATGAGTTCCAAACTTTCACAGAACATTCAACACATGTAAGCATATCTTTGACCAAAGTTTTCAGTACTGGCATTAACTCTTTCGTTGCTTTCTTTACTTCTCTGCACAGTCACTCATTTACCACACATGAAAATTTGCACAAAACAATAGGCACCAATTGACAGAAGGATTGATTTTCCTATCTTGACTGGCTCCATGGCAATCCCTTTAACACCGGTATAGATTAATCTTTCACTAGATGCAGTCAAATAATCTTGGAGCCTTTGGTATATCTATCCCATAATGAATATTATATTACCTCTCTTTAGAAATCTAGCCATCTGATTGGTCGGAATTTCAGTCGTGATTTTAGCCATTTCCCTCATACCCGCCTACCAGTCAATAGTCTTTGGAAAAGTGCCCTCATAACCGCCTACCCGTCAATAGTCTGTTTAAAGATTGAGCCTATAAAACAGCCCGCCCCCTCAAAGCAGTCGATATCTCTATACAATGTGGTACAGAGAGATTATTTGCGTGGCATAGGAAGAATTAAAGGGCATATGAATTACAAGAATTTGTAGTATCAAAAAACTTATCAGTTTGGGAAATGCTATCTCTCAACATTTACAGGAAATTCAGGTGGAAAGGTGGCACATGGAATATTAAAAACAAGTCATAGTGCTTTCCTCTGTAAAATAAGTAACACTAGTCTTCTCTTTCTCACAGCTGATATATATTTATGATGCATACCTTCTGATAGTGTAGCTGAGACCAGGACGGTTTGTTTCTGGTTCTGGCACTGCTCATTGATAGCATTCAAGATAGTGGTTACATCCTTCTCAAAACCCAAGTCTAATAACCTGTAAGAAAGAATACAAGTCATAAAAAACAGCCTCTGAGGATCAAATACTTCAACAAGCTCGGCTTCTAGTTAGTTCCTCTTTTCTCATGCTATTTCTATAATATTTGTTGTTTCATTGTATTATTTTTTGTAATATACTTATTCATTGTATTATGTTTTGCATGAGAAATAAAAATCATTTGAATCAACCCCAAAATATACCCCCTCTCTCTAAAAGCCAGCTTGTACTAAGGAGACAATGAGTACCAATGACCAATGATGATTGAAAATTAAACCAGCAAATCTTGCCAGTGTTCAGGTGAACATCATATGTGCAATTTTGCACTAGAGAAAATGAGACTCAACGTAATAATAATTATCATCACCAATATCATTATCATCATCTTCCTCATAATCTATGATCCTTCGGAAGTTTAATTTACATCATTATCAGCATCATCTTCATTACTTTCTTTGTCTTCACCATCACTACCACCATCTCCATCATCACCTCCACCAACCATCACACCATCATCATCATCAAAAAAAGATTTCTCTCTCCCCCTCTCCATTGTCATCATCATCATCATCATCACCATCATCTTCTTCATCATCATCATCATCATCATCATCATCATCATCATCATCATCATCATCATCATCATCATCATCACGATCATCAACACCATCATCATCATCATCATCATCATCACCATCATCATCATCATCATCATCACCATCATCTTCATCATCATCATCATCATCATCATCACCATCATCATCATCATCATCACCATCATCTGCATCATCATCATTATCATCATCATCATCATTATCATCATCATCACCATCATCATCATCATCATTGTTGTGGTACTATATGAACAACATCAATAGTTCATTGATGTGCGTAATGAGGCCGCGATTGGCGGAAGGATACATGAATAAAGCACTTTCAAGATGGCCACTTATACATGAACCTTGTCTACAGTGATCTCTTATTTATCCGTTCATCTGATCTTTCAACATGGTGGCAGCGGTCAAAAGAATTGCCATATCTATTACTATTGAACTGCAGATCACATAGGGCAAGCAATAATCTTGAATGACTTATGAAAGATTGATAAGGGACGGTTTTTGAACTGCCGACAATCACACTGCACAGCCAGCAGAGTAAACTCACAGCCGCGTCTCCAATATGACTTTGTGTCGGCGTAAGGTTGCGCACTATATTACGCGGGAAACACTACGAGTAGACTAGTGTATTGACTGTCAGACTAAAGCCCTATACATTCAGGACCAGAACTGATGCGGAGGCAGAACCAGAGCCTAGAGGCTCGCCAGGAGCAGAGCCTAGAGGCTCGTCAGGAGAAGAGCCTAGAGGCTCGACAAGACCAGAGCCTAGAGGCTCGACCGGGACCGGGAACAGTACAGCTCTAAGGCCGCTACCTCGGACTTCCAGCCCTGCACTGCATTATGGTTTTGGAACTAGCCGCCACTCGGACCCAGAGCGTCGTGTTGCGGACCGTGCAAGTAGATCCAGGACTGATTGCTGGACTTGGCCGGATCTGATTGTGGAATGAAAACTAGATTAGACTCTCAATCAAATGGACTATAATCTAAGCAGACATATAATGTTTGGACTCGGTTTGAAACAATTAAACCATAATTAATGTGCTTTGTTTGTCGTATAAAACTGGACTAGAGTCTAGTCTAGTCTAGGGGTCTAGATCAAGACCTAGCCTAGATAGATAGTCTAGACACTTTTTTCTAGTCTAGACTCCACTTATGGATCTAGACTAGACCGAGTATGAGAATGAGTATGACTAAGAAGGTGTAATTTGATCAAAATCTACTTTCACCTTGTTCTATATTACTGGACCTGGTCTAGATCTGGACTAGGCCTAGTCTAGATTTCTAGATGTGTTTACTTTAGACCTTAACAAGTTCAATTTCTACATGTGGACCTGTCCTAATTAAGTGAATGATACACACATATCTCTTACATGTATGTAGAAGTGCTGATGTACTATTACTAACTTAGATCTAGATCTAGATCTAGTGGTGGTAGACTCTACTGCCACTGGTACTATAGACCAAACAGTGGTCCGTGGTATCCCCTTAAAGCGGGTCCAGGACCAGTTGTCTTTGCTAGACCAATTACACAAGGGGGTCTAATTGTCTATGGATCTAGACTTGATATATTTTGATACATTTGAAGCTACATTTTGAAGTTGTACATATAGATCTAGTCTATAGTGTAAATGCTAATTGCTATGTAGGCCTACATGTCGATTTAAGTCACAATTCATGTATTACATGTAGTTACCTGTGTACTCCAAGACCCCATTGTAGAAACCAGGACCATGGCTCGCTATCCAGAGATGAAGTGGGACCCTCAGTGTGGTCTCGCTGAAGAATTCACGTTATTTCAACAGCGAATGGAACTTTGCCTTCTCGATAATGAGATAACTGATACTACAAAACAGGCAACAAAAATAAAGATAGCTCTTGGGAACGAAGGGTTACGCAGGATAAACGCCTCTAGCCTCAGTGTAGAGGATCAGAAGGACCCAGGCAAGCTATGGGCCCTAATCGAAGGCCAACTGAATGTCAAAGTGAACTTCAGGATTCATCGTCTCGAATTAATGCGATACAAGCAGATGTCTGGAGAAACGATCGACGAGTTCGTCAATAGATGTCGGAGTAAGGCAAAGGAATGCAAATTCACCGAGGGGGAATTGAGTGAAAGACTCATAGAGCTGGTGATTTCGTCTACACAACTCGAGTCATTTCAGAAAGACCTACTCGACAAAGAAAAGGGGTTCTCAATTGATAAGCTTCTTGAAGAAGGCCGCAAATATGAGGCCATTCAAGTCGGTAAACAGTGCCTGCAGACGCTCCACACCATTGGAAGTGGGAACATTGATGCTGTTAGTCACGACAGTAGGCAGAAATGCAGGAACTGTGGTCTTTCACACCTTCCAAAGAGGTGTCCAGCCTTCGGGGACCTGTGCAATTCGTGTGGCGTCAAAGGACACTGGGCGAAGATGTGTCGAAAGACGAAAGAACAGGTCAAACCGAAGATCCCTCCTAGACGTCCACCATCACAAGACAGGTGGAGCTCACAGCAGAGACAGCCCAGAAACAGGCAGTATAGGCCTACATCCTTTCATAGCAGGAACCAGCGTAAGGTTGACGAAATTGGACCGGACGACACAAACCAACCGGACGGTGGGGAACGCGAATTCCACATGATACATATATCGCTAAACTCTATTGACTCGGAGGAGACCGAAGCATATGCGAGTATCAACATCATATGTCCAGACCTGAGGGGTCATCATCGCCTCAATGCAAAGGTTGACACAGGAGCCAGCGGTAATGTTCTGCCACTGCGGACGCTGAAGGACATGTACAGGGCTCGATGGAAAGATGTTATCCGTCCCACTACTACGCGACTATCTGCCTACGGAGAAACGCCTTTACGCTGCTTAGGCACCTTGATGATGTCGATGATGTATGAAGGGTCGCCTTGGGTCGTAGACCAAACATGGTATGTTGCGGACGTAAAGGGACCAGTCATTGTCGGACTTCCTACTTCCAGAAAGCTAGGGATTGTTACGATTCACACAGTAGAACAACAGATGGGCCTGGACAGTCCAAATGATCTTCCTCCCATCAGGTCAGCTAAAGACCTACAGGCGGCTTACCCAGACCAGTTTGACCAGATTGGGAACTTCAGTGGCAAGGCAACGTTGCACTTGAAGAAGGATGCAACTCCATCAATTGATGCGCCTCGAAAATGCAGCATCCACCTGAGGGACAAGCTCAAGAAAGAGCTGGATCAGATGGAAAGTAACGGCATCATTAGGAAAGTTACTCATCACACAGATTGGTGCAGTTCCCTCACCACAGCCCTGAAGAAGGATGGGTCATTGCGAGTCTGCCTTGACCCCAAAAGGCTCAATCAAAACCTGAAAAGATGCCCTCACAAGATTCCAACTCTAGAGGAGCTCAATCCTGCATTCTCACAGGCCAAGTACTTCTCGAAATTGGATGCAAAGGCAGGATATTGGTCAGTCCACCTGGACGAAGAATCGCAGGAGCTTACTACATTCAGATCACCATTTGGAAGGTATTGCTTTCGCAGACTTCCATTTGGACTTTCGGTGAGTCAAGACATCTTTCAACAAAGGATGGACACAATCCTTGCACAGGCGCCAGGCTGTGAAGGTATAGCTGACGACATAGCTGTATTTGGCAAGACTGAACAGGAGCATGATGATAATCTCTGGAGACTGATGGGAGTTGCACAAAAAGAAGGTCTGGTGTTCAACAGTACAAAGTGTGTGATCAAGGCGAGAAGCATCAATTTCTTTGGTTCACTGTACACAGACAAAGGCATACAACCAGATCCTAGCAAGTTGGAGGATGTCAGAGAAATGCCTACACCACAGAACAAGGACGATCTCCAGCGAGTGTTAGGGATGATGACCTATTTATCACCATACATCTCAAACTATGCTGAAAAGTCAGCAATACTGCGTGATCTTCTGAGGAAAGATGTTCCCTTTACCTGGCAGGAGGACCATGAGGAATGCTTTCAACGATTGAAATCAGAAATTTCAGAAGGAAAGTGTCTACGGTACTATAACCCCAGTGTCCCAACAGTACTAGAGGTAGATGCATCGCTCAAAGGACTTGGAGCCTGCCTCCTTCAGAATGAAAGACCAGTCGCATTCGCCTCAAAGAGTTTGTCAGATGCACAATCAAACTACTCAAACATCGAGCGAGAGACATTGGCACTTGTTTTTGGGATCACACGTTTCCATTCATATCTGTTTGGTAACCAGTTCACAGTCTACACTGACCACAAACCACTCGAAACGATCTGTAGAAAGCCCCTGGGGAGTGCGCCTCCAAGATTACAGAGGCTTCTCGTCAAAATACAGGGCTATGATTGTGATATCCTATACAAGCCCGGAAGTCAGATGACATTACCAGACACACTCAGTAGGTTGCCAAACCCCAGAAAGAGAGGAGACGTCATCGTTGAGCTCCATGTAGATGAAGTCATGGAATTAGAAGAGAATCATGACAATGATCTGGCAAGCTTCACACCTATGAAGCAGACACAGCTGCAGAGAGAGACAGCAAGCGATCCAAACTTGAAGCAGCTGAGTAGAATTATTCACGATGGATGGCCAGACGTGATTAAGCAGGTTCCAAGCAGCTCAAGGATTCACTGGTCATACCGAGAGGAACTGGGTGTCGCCAACGGCATTATCTTCAAAGGAAGACAGGTGTTGATACCTTCAACGCTGCAATCAGACATCCTGGAGCAGCTACACACGAGTCATATGGGTATAGAGAGAACTCGTAGACTAGCAAGGGACACGGTATACTGGCCAGGCATCAATAAGGATATTGAAAACCTTGTCAAGACTTGCCCTGCTTGCCAGGAGAACCAGGATCGGCAACAAAGGGAACCACTACAACCGCACGAAGTTCCAATGACGCCATGGACAAAGGTAGCCACAGACCTGTTTTTTCTTCATGGAACTGAATACTTACTCATTACTGACTATCATTCCAAGTTCCCTGTGATCAGGAAAATGCACAGCACCACAAGTGCTTCAGTTGCTACCGTCATGAAAGAAACCTTCAGCCTCCTGGGAGTGCCCTCCGAAGTTATATCTGATAACGGACCCCAGTTCATTGGAAAAGCTTTCAAAGACATGTGTGAGTCATGGAACATCAAGCACACCACCTCATCGCCGAGATATCCGCGCTCCAATGGCCTAGCTGAGCGGATGGTACGCACCATAAAGACGGTGATTAAGAAGTGCAAACAGACAGGACAAGATGTCCAAAAGGCACTTCTCCACCTTCGAGCAACGCCTCAATCGGACCTGCCATCTCCTGCCGAAATGATGTTTGGGAGGCAAATGAAGACAACCCTTCCAGGTCGCCATGATCATGGCAGACAGATGAGCGATGTCCACGACCAGCTCCAGCGAAGGCGGGATGTGATGAAGACCGACCATGACAGACATGCCGGTCGGGTACTGTCCCTCCTGAAGGTCGGCCAGAAAGTCAGAACTTTGCATCCAGACGACAATACATGGCTGCCGGCTGAGGTTTCAAGAGTTTGCCCAGAACCAAGATCATATGAAGTGACAACACCAAATGGCAGGGTGTTAAGGAGAAACAGGTCCCATCTGCGAGAGATGCCGATACAAATAGAGACGGCAACAGCACCCACACCAGGGACAGAGCATCTTCCAAGAGAGGATGGTGACAACTGCACAACACCCGCAGGAACACAGGATTTCGATGGTTCAATCCCTCGTTCTGATTCTTTTGCCTATGTCACACGATATGGTCGCAAGGTTAATCCCCCATCTCGTTATCAAGAATAAAAACTTCATCGATTAATAGATTGATAAACAACAACTATACTTTATTTGTTTAATGATTTAGCATACCCGGTAGAATTACACTGATGATAGTAAAACCTCATATTTGACATCAGGTGATTCAATTTCTTAATCAGTATACATGTATATAACCAAAATGTTTTATATAACTGCCACGCTTAATATTGGCTATCTTTCAACAGAAAATCTCTTCTGTATACAGAACCGAATTTAACAATTGTATGTCGTGCTCGTGCATGATATTTCTTCTCTCCACACAAATGACCAGGTATTATGGTTTTGTTACGCTGATTTGTCGTATTGCTAAGTCCTAATTGAAATGGGATGAAAAACGTTTTTTCACAGGAAAATGTTGTTTATAACTGTTTGCCAGAAAGCAATATGGAATCACTTTAGTTTATTCCAGCAAAAGTTATGTAAATTATAAAAAGTTGAATTACATTATACAAGTATGTCGATTCAGCGACAAAAATATGCCTGTTATAGTGGAGGACACTATTTTACCATTCTAAAATTTGTTTTTCTTGTTGAAAGGTACTTGTAAGTTTTAGTTGAACAGTTTTTAGTACTGTGCTTCTCCAAAAAAGAAAAGAAGAATATGTTTGGAATGTTTCCTCTTGTTGAAATTTCTAAATTGTGTTACTGTTTTAGTGGATAATTTCCGTCATGTACAGTGCCTATTGAGCAGGGAAGATATAACTGGTTAATGAGAGCACTATCAACTTGTCATTGAAAGAAGGGGGATGTTGTGGTACTATATGAACAACATCAATAGTTCATTGATGTGCGTAATGAGGCCGCGATTGGCGGAAGGATACATGAATAAAGCACTTTCAAGATGGCCACTTATACATGAACCTTGTCTACAGTGATCTCTTATTTATCCGTTCATCTGATCTTTCAACAATCATCACCATCATCATCATCATCATCATCATCATCATCATTATCATCACCACCATCATCATCATCACCAACCATCAATCCACCCCCATCCATCAATCCACCCCTAACCATCAATTCACCATCATCATCATACAAATATCCTTCTCTCTCTCCTCATCATTGTCACCATCATCTTACCTATCAGCCTCATCTAAGATGACCCATCTCACCCTTGAGAACGTAAGAGCTTCGGTTGTGTTGATGTGATCTACCAATCTACCAGGAGTGGATACCAGGATGTTGATTCCTTTTCGTATCCTTCCTTTTTCCGATTTCTTCTTCTCTCCTCCCATCAGCACACCAGGAACAATCCAATGAAATGGCTGGTACAAGAAAAAAAAAGCAGAGACTTACTGATTTTACTTTTTATTAAATACAATCATCCTCTCCTCCACAATATAATGAAACAACATAACAATACAAAGAGAATCAGTAACCCTCCCCTCCCCTTATCATAGCTTTAACAGCAGAAAAGTGGGATCTTGTGAAATGATATCTCTTATATACAGTATGTTATCTTTATGGCTTCCCTTGGAATCTGTAATTAAATAGTGCAGAAATAGCAAATGCAGAGATTTGCTGATTTTACTTTTCAACACAATCATCTTTTTCTTCAAAATAAAATAAAACATCAATACAGTATCATTCATCTCTTTTTCATTATAACAGCAGAAAAGTGGGATCTAGAGAAAGGATTATCTGTTGAATATTATCTTTAGGGCTTCTCTGGGGTTCTGTTATTACATAGTGCACACTAATGTGGACAGTTCATTTTTTATACGCAAGTGACTGTGTTTGCTCTATTGAGTATGGTTACAGTGTAGCAACCTGTAGTGTCACAGCTCAACACACTTCATACACAAATCATTCAAATGCTTTTAGTTTACTTTATTGCATCAAATGCAAATGCACCTGCTACATATAATCAATTCTACAAATGTAGAAACCATCTACATTTAATATGGAGGAAACAAAAACTTACCTTAACAAGTTTTACAAGTGTTTCAAAGCTCTGACATGCAAGCTGCAAGGAAATACAAAGAAAGGGATATATTATATTGAATGTATAGTTTTAGGCACCTCAAAAACATTATACACAAGCTACAAAACCAATAACCCTCATTAATTGTACCAATGTAGCATCTGTAGCTTCTTCATATACAAAACTAAGAGTATTCTGTATGTAAACTTACTTGTTTCCTTCATTTCGAAAAGCCACCCACAAGAATATCTCTCATTTAGTTCATTAGCTTATTTCTCGAGTAGGAACAAAAACATAACAAATTATGATTTCATAACCATCTAATCTCTCTCTCTCTCTCTCTCTCTTTTCACTCACTCACTCTCTTTGATAATTTCCATCTATGTTGTTGTTATATACGTTTGTTCTCCCTCTCTCTATAGGCCTGTCCTCATCAGCTTAAGTTTGCTAAAGAACCTGCTATTTTCAGACTCAGAAGATTATCTTGAAGCTCGAAATTGCGTCTTCACCAGACCGATAAGCTTATCACAAACTGGCTCGGACGGGCGCAAATTAGCCCGCTATTTCCCAAATAGCGGGATATTTTGGAAACAAAATTAAGATTTCTCTGTATATTTTCTTGACCAAATATTTCACTTATTACAACTGCGGGCTGTTGAAGACGCAAATTTACTGGCTAATTTGCGATCGGGATGACTAAAATAGCGGGTTATTTGGCAAACTCGAGCTGATGAAGACAGGCCTTATCTGCCCAAACTTCTACTCAGAGCTTACTATCTTACCTCTCTAGTAGGGACCAGAATAAGAGCATACGGTCCATGTAATCTTTGAACCTTAGGCTGAAGACCCTGCAGCTGTTGGACGACTGGAACAGCATAAGCCAAAGTTTTTCCTGCAAAATAAAAAGTAACATCAAGTTAACTTCATGATTCTAGAAGATTGAATTCATTAATCTTTGATAGTGCTGTATAATATAAGAATAAATCTGTTTCATTGCACCATATATCCCAGGTTCCTTTTTATAACTTTCATCTTGTTTGGCATCTGAACCAGTAGATAAGATGCAGTTATAAGTATATCAAAGTTGGGGAGTGTTTTACAGAGATTAAGATCGACTTTAAGTTGGAATTAACTATGGCAGGCCATTCATGCTACTGTTTGCTCTCATCATTATGATCTTTAGATAATTTTTTTTTCTTCAATAATGAATTATCAAAAAATGTAAATTCTGTAGATTTGTGACCACGATTTGTACGTCCCTTGAGAAACCAATGCTAGTAAAGGGTGAGAGCAAACAGTGGCATGAACGGCCCTGCCATAGTTAAGTCCAACTTGAAGTCGATCTTAGTCTTTGTGAAACACCCCCCTGAATCACCAATACATTATACAGACTCTCTCATGTAAAACGAGGTATACAACTTTGACAGACACATCCAATGCGATGATAGGGACACATTCACAACTAAAAGCACCTCTTAAACTCTACATATCTGTCAGAATTCCTGCATTGACCAAGGTACTCAGGACTTCAAACAGCATCGGAAAGGCCTATATTTTCTGAAAATGCTGCAATCTGTACAGAAGTACCAGAATAACTGTTTGTATTTACCTGTTCCTGTTTGTGATTTGATAAGAGTGTCTTGTCCATGCAGCAGAGTGGGGATGGCTCTCTGCTGTACAGTCGTCATCTGACTGAAACCGAGATTCTTCTCAATATTTGATATCTAGGAGAGACGACACAGTAGAATATGAGTCACTACAATTTCATAGAGCTCCCATTTTATCTACACACAAATCCGCATGAGAGAATTACTAGAATTATGGACGTTTAGGCCAATAAAATGAAACATGGTCTTGATTTTCAATGAATGTATGACTTATTGTTTTTTTCAGTGGTTGACAATTTTTTTTTTTTTAAGTCCTTAATTAACAATTTCAGATAATAGGAAACCGAGCAACACTTTGTTACCTTTAGGAATAAAGCTACTAGAGCAACCCACTGAAGAAAGTCCTGTAACTAAATAAAGACACTTAAAAAAACACTTGCACATTTTATATATGCTTTGGATTCACTAGCCATAGGTCTAGCCATGTTCTACTCTGACCAGTGGAGGCCCACCGAGCTAGCACAATCACTTGGAAATGTTGTGACATTTGAGTTGTCTAGAGAGAGAGAGAGAGAGAGCAAACAATAATTTTGAGATCTTTGAGAGAATCAATGGACATAAACTCACCATGAAGGAATGCAGCGGGAGTTCACTGAACTGTGTTGATGAAAAGATAGCCTCCTTATTCTCAGTGACTTTCTGACTGCAATAAGAAAAATAAATGGCTGATTACTTAAAATTTAAAGATTAATCAGTAAACAGTGTAAACATAAAGCAAACTACTGCTACTTCACTGTCAAGAATACTAATAAGTTTCATTTATAATACAAGTCAATATTAGTAATATAACAAATGACAAGCTACATGTACCTGTGTATTTAGGAAACAACTCTGTACTAGACGAAGAGTGCATTTTAATAATTAAAATAAAGGTTGAAAAGTATGAAAGTGTAGCTTCAGAACTTCTTTGGCTCACAATAATAATAATAATAATAATAATAATAATAATAGCCTAATAGTCCACTCCAAATTTTATTAAACCGAAACGGAAATTCTTTTTGCCCAATTGATCGTGAGCCCGGCAGCCACTGAGCAGCGCCAGATCGACGTTGCTCTATCCCTTATTGTTGAATGCCAAACAAGGTAGCAACAACTCCCATCTTTTAACGTCTTTTGGTATGACGCGGCCGTCGTTCGAACCCACGACCTCCCGGTTATGAGGCGGACGCTCTACTGACTGAGCCAACAAACTGGTACAAAGCAGTGTGAGATAATAAACTTGATGAAAGGGATCAAGCATACATCATGCATTCCTATATAATATAACGAGGGAAAAATTGTATCAGAGAAAAGGTATGATGCAGAAGTGGGGAGATGGAGAGAGAAGAGAATGATTTATTCTTACCAAGAAGAAGAAGAAGGAGAAGAAGAAGGAGAAGGAGGAGGAGGAGGAGGAGGAGGAGGAGGAGGAGGAGGAGGAGGAGGAGAAGGAGAAGGAGAAGGAGAAGGAGAAGGAGAAGAAGTAGAAGGAGAAGGAGAAGGAGAAGGAGAAGGAGAAGGAGAAGGAGAAGGAGAAGAAGAAGAGGAAGAAGAAGAGGCAGGGAAAAAATAAAATATTTATTTTTCGGGGGCTACTTTTCAAGCTTGCCTGCATAAAAATAACACTCTAAAATTGTTTTGCATTGAACTCTATGCAAATTTACGGGGGCTCTTTTCTGATTTTCGGGGGCTCTTTTGGGCACTTCGGGGGCAAATTCGCTCTGAGCCCCCATGTATTTTTTTCACTGAGAAGAGGAAGAAGAAGAAAGAATGAGCGAGATGGCAGGATTGAATGAGGTATGTATGATTTGGAAACAAATTAGGAAAATGCAACTCACATTTTAACCTGAGGTATCTCTGGGTTGTGTCGAAAGAGAGAAGAAATGATGTTGTTGTTTGGTTGACCAGGCTGTTTGTTTTTGCTTTCTCCATCTTTCTGCTTCACTCCTTTCCCTCGCGATCCTGTCTGTTTGTCATCTAAAAAGTTGAAACTGAATCCCGAGCTCTCATTCTTTGCATCATCATGATTTGAATTATTGTTTCCTTTTTGGTGTGAGATGTTGTCCTCTCTTCCTTCTGTATTTCTTTGTGGTGTCTTCTTCTTTTTCTTCAAAGTTTCCTGAGGAATAGGAGGCTTCTTGACCTACAGAAAAAGACATTACAGACAAGTTGTAAAGATAGTAAGTTACAAAAGAAGTAAATAGATCTGTACTGTAGTTCACTCCCTTTTGTCTCTTTATCATTTTCTCTCTCTCTCTCTCTCTTTCAATTTATTTGTCACCAGTTTCCACACTCTTGCTTACTATACGTATACTATAGGGTATAGATATAGGCGTTTATATGTTCATACTTTTGAGACTAATCTTATCGATTCTAATTTTGATTTGGCAACCATGCGCAGTTGAGTTGACATTTGAAATAGTTTTTTTGAATGAATATTTTTGCTTTTTCATCATCATCATCATCATCATGTCAGGTCTCATAAGTTTATAACCAGTCTATAATTTGTCTAGAGAAACAATTAAGTCTGTTATATTACTCTCTTAAAAAACAAACATATCTTTGACTTTGACATCTATCTCATTTCCAAACTAGTATCACACTCAGCTCAACACAATAGAAATGGACACTACTAACATGACAAAATATTGTATGAATGGGACTGAAATGAAATATTGTTGATAGTTTTCAGCTGACGGCTTACCTTATTTACTGGTTCCACATTGGATACAAGGTTTAACACAATTCCACCTCCGGTGCTATCCATTCTCAACGAAGTTTCTTACATGGAATATTACAGAAATGCGTTTCCAATTTGTTTAAAAAAGTAAAATTGGGCAGTAGAACCGTAATCGTAACCGTGTGGATGATGACACGAGCAACGCATTGCGTAATCAATGTTGCACGTGTGTGTACTGTACGTTCGAAGTGTACAGTATAGTACAATGTATACAATATGTGTAGGCCCAGTGTAGATACAAATCTGTCAGCTGTTACGTCTGTATCATCGGCTGAGGCAAGAGTTGTAAGTGTGGCTGTGAGTCTTGTTGTCCTGTTTTGTCTATTTGTTCAAATTTGTTTATTTGCTGCATGTGTGTAGTCACTGGATCGATTTGACAATAACATAGGAAATTGTAGTACGTGTAATTTAGATTGAAATAAAGACATTCAATTATTTTAAAGAAAGTTGTGAAATGTGAATTAGCAATTTACCCCTGCTATATCTAGTGCTACTCTGCTCTGTTACCTCTTCATCCATGCCTGCCTTCCGAAATTCAAAATAACCTACTTCTACTATCGCTCTTTTTTCTACACAAAATTGATGCTTCTCGTTCTAAGACTCTCCAAAGCTCTAACCGGTCGGATTTTAAACATTTACTTCATTTGGACTCCAGTCCAGGAATCTCCAAAACAGTGGAGGGATCAACTAAGAAGAAGAAGAAGATGTGTTTACAAAAAGTAGAATCTAGACCTTTTGGCTATTGCATTTATAATGATGTATATTAATTTATTTTTTCTATGCATGCTGTATAGTAGGGGGTAATTCAAAACTAAATCTAATTGTGTTTAAAAATATATAGCTATGGATGAAAGCTGTAACTATTGCACATATACATGTACATCTAGATCTAACGCATTACCAAGGAGATGATTGACTTCTAATTGAGATTCAAGTTTGCCTAAATGCCTAGTAACTAGTTGGTCTAATTAACAAACGTGACAAAAAGTCTGATGCGTGACAACCAATTTGTTCATTGGGATTTTGACAACATTCATCTAATTTTTCTTTTCAGCCAAGCTGCATTGTATCACCAACTGGATTCATTACTGGAATTATGTTGAGGTGTGCAGTTAAAGCTGGAGTTGAATGCTGTCCAACATGGATGAGTCGCATCTGCAGCGGGACGACTTCAAGGTTAAAATTCCATCACATCATTAGATCTGCCTCGTTAGACCAGAGAACTGTATCCTCATCTTCCTCATCATCCCTTGTCTGGAGACGGATAAAGACAGATCAAAAGAATTCTATATGTCGTCCTACAGACAATGTTTTAAACTCTGGACTGAAAGCATGTTTTTGTTCAGGACAATCAGATGACGGCTCAGCAGCTAAGCAGGCTCTTGGTAAAATTGAAGGTAATAAGTGTAATAAGTTATTAGTTTAAGAGATTTGTGTAACATGAAGATTCATTATGTTTTAGACTTTTATTTTGAATGCTGTTTGCTTTTTCTGATGGGTACTTGTCATAGACTTGGCTATGTTTATACACCTAATTTTTTGTAAACCCCTCCAATTCTCTTGAAAAACCACATATGGTATGCCTTTCTTATCGACCATTAAATTTTTTTATAAGAAGGCAACAGGTTCCTTTTCAAGACTTCACAATCTCAATGCAGTACTCAACTTGTTAATTACATTTTACATTCTCCAGTTTCAGTGTTATATTGTTAATTCATTTATTTTTAACAACAAATGAAGGTCTTTTAGCACATGTAGATGTAGATCTACAATTGATTCAATTTCAAAATTCACGGTTTTCCAATACTAGGGGGCATTTGACATTTTTATCCTTTACTGTGTTTTGATTTCCATGATAACAGGTAAGCTTCATCTTGCCTTCACATGTAAAGTGTGCGGAATGCGTACAGCGAGGAGCATCTCCAAACAGGCCTATGAAAAGGGCGTGGTCATTGTCAAGTGTGGTGGATGTGAAAACAATCATCTCATCGCTGATAATCTGGACTGGTTCAAAGGAGCTCAAGGAGCTGGGAGGTAAGGAAAATTAATGCGAATCTTCAGAAAGAAAAAGGTTATTATAGCTATAAAAGGGAAATGTAAAGAGTGAAAATCATAACCTTCAAAGTCTGTCATTGAGGCAGGGCTCCAGCTCTTGATTCACTTTATTTAATTGCGCTTGCTTTCATTTTTTTGTAAATCATTATTTCTTTTTAATTTACCAATAATAGAATTTTATAATGTGCTCTCAAGTCTCAAGCTCAGGTAAGGATTGTTAAAAAGAGGGAGAGAGAGATAGAGGGAGGGGGGGGGAACTATCATTCCCTTTAAAGCCCCACTGTCCTACTTGTAGCTACTTGCTCCCTCTATATAGAAAACTTCCCCAATTGGTGCCTGTTGGTCCCCCATGATCCTCTATTTCTTATGTTATTTGAGAGCCGAGTTGATGAGATAGCCACCTGTCAGTGACCTCGCTGTGTGGTCTAATCCCTCCTAGCCACAATAGTGTTGATAAGCTTTAAAGGGTATGTTTTTGGTTCATTGATAAAAAAAGAATAGCTTAAAGTAAAAATATTGTATTTATACCCCATGTGAGAAGTAGCTCAGTTTGTAATATGTAATTGAGAATATATTTTCATCTGTTTCAAACTTGAACATACAAAAATATAAAGTATATACAGTATAAGACAGAAAGAACTGTCTGGTATGGGTCATTCTTTAATAAAACTGAGAGGCAGTCAGAGGAGCCAGATGTAATCTCAGCGGAACAACCGTCAATATCAGAGACTGATGCTTTCGGTCTAATAAAATACATTATGTGCCTTTTTTTTCTCCAAATTCAAGTCAATGCAAAATATCCAGCTATCTGATGTAAATATTGTAACTTTGTTTGAAATGCCAATATTGAAAACACTTTTGACTGTATTTCTTTTTTTAAATAGGAATATAGAAGAGATCATGGCGGCTAAAGGAGAGAATATAAGATCCCAGCTGACCGAGGATGACATGTTAGAGATTTCAAGCCTCGATACCGATACTCTGAGTGATGAGAAAACATGATGGGTTTAATCAAGTGGATCATTCAAGCTGAGAAAACATGATGATTTATACTTAGTGGACAGTTTTCATCATTCATCTAAAGCAAGAGGATAAAAGCTTATTCTGCCGAGAAGCTGGACTACTACTGAATGTTCTCTCTGAACTTATTTCTAGAAGCAGGAGAACATGTTTTTTTATCTTTTTAAAGAATTTTGAAGAATCTACGGACGCATCTCTGGCTGTACATAGAGTTGTGCATATTCAGATGTAGTCTCATTCCCAGACTCACTTCAGACTTTCCATTTGATCATTATTTTTTGTTGTATTTCCGAAAATAACAAAAGGAAAGAGGATACAGTGAAAGACAAAATGAATTAATAATTTGATGTATAAAGACGCCAAAAGTTTATGACCATTTTATATTTCTATTTGATTCTTTGATTGTGTAAAGTAGTGATACGTGTATTTATGTGTTTCTGTGTACATGCTGTGATTTTCAACTAAAATTTGTTGGTGTATTTCCCTTGTACATTACCTGTAACAGTAACAATTTTGGGTGGATAGGAACAAAAATTGGACAAGTGTTTTTGAGGCTTACTTTTTCTCCCAAGAATGTTTCAGACCCCTTCGATTTATCAAACACTTGAAAGTGAACGCATAAATAACAAGGGTCTTTTATCATTCCTAGCGTGATACACTTATTTTCAATTCTTTTCCCTATTTATCTCATCATGATACTAAGTGTATCTTGATGTAACCAATAAGCTGAGGAGTGGGCAATTGTGAGAACACAGGGAGTGGTTCACAGGAATAAGAGTGAGAGACAGAGAGAGAGAGAGATAAATGAAGACAAGCACAGAGAGAGAGAGAGATGAAGACAAGCAGAGAGGGAGAGAGAGATGAAGACAGGCAGAGAGAGAGAGAGAGAATGAGAGAGAGAAAGATGAAGACAAGCAGAGAGAGAGAAAGAGAGAGATAGATGAAGACAGGCAGAGAGAGAGAGAGAGAGAGATGAAGACAAGCAGAGAGAGAGAGAGAGAGAGATGAAGACAAGCAGAGAGAGAGAGATGAAGACAGGCAGAGAGAGAGATGAAGACAAGCACAGAGAGAGAGAGAGAGAGAGAGAGATGAAGACAAGCAGAGAGAGAGAGAGAGAGAGATGAAGACAGGCAGAGAGAGAGAGAAAGAGAGAGATGAAGACAAGCACAGAGAGAGAGAGAGAGAGAGAGAGAGAGATGAAGACAAGCAGAGAGAGAGAGAGATGAAGACAATCAGAGAGAGAGAAATAAAGACAAACAGAGAGAAAAATAAAGACAAACAGAGAGAGAGAGAGATGAAGACGTATAGAGAGAGAGAGAGAGAGTGATGAAGACAATCAGAGAGAGAGAAATAAAGACAAACAGAGAGAGAGAGAGAGAGAGAGAAATAAAGACAAACAGAGAGAGAGAGAGAGAGAAATAAAGACAGAGAGAGAGAGAGAGAGAGAGAGAAATAAAGACAAACAGAGAGAGAGAGAGAGAGATGAAGACAGGCAGAAAGAAAGAGGAATGTGAGAGGTGGTTGAGTGGCTATGACTATGAGGGTAAACTCAATTACTCAAAGCACTGCTCGTTGACACTAATTCATTGTATACCAATACCTACACTTTATTTACAGCATAATACATGTTCCGTAACATAACGGGTCAGACATCTCAATTTAGTTGGACAGTCTTGGATCAGTTTTCACAAAACTCTATGATCCAAAGAAAACGATGTACATAATTATCTCAACCAATATTAAAACCTAATTCTAGTTCTATTTCAAGTGATTAACTTGAGGGTTCAATTTGTTTGAAGAAAATCATGATTCCTAAGACAAAGAGCCGAGTTGGTGCGTAAAAGATAAAAAATGGACTATACATTTACATTTTCTGTAAAACAATATCTTCTACCTACATGTAAATCCCCCAAAAAAATATGGTCAAAATTTCAACATGGGACTTCTGCTTTGATGCTTACTGCTTTATTCCATGATTTCAGAGTTCTGACTGGCAATAATCTATTCCTATGCAGCAAAGGCCAGTAGATTTGGTCAATAACACTTGTATAAAATAAATAAAAATCAGAAAAACAATCAATATCTCTGCTTTATAAAAAAATAAAAAATTGTCCATGGTGTTTAATTTAAAAAAAAATCTTGCTTCTTGAGGGCTTTGTCTTAATACAGAATTGTGATTGATCCAAATTAATTTCAAGTCAACTATCAATTGCAACTCTACACCAGAGATAACTTTGTGAATGGCTGGCTGACTTTCAGTTGATTTTGATCAATTGCAACTCTTTATAGTAGGCCACTTCTTCAGAATAATTAAAAACTGATATCATGACCAGAATCTCAACTACCGTAAGCCCTTTCAACACATATTTTGGAATGTGTCTCCTAGTATCAAAGTCCATCATGTACTGTATGAACAATCATGAGTGCAGGCTTGCTTCTTTCACAAATGTATTCCAACGTTCAGTAGAAGTAAAACAAATAAAAAAAAAAAGATTTGAGGCAATTGCAATGCCTGTATTCCTGTGTAATGTATTGCTATTTTATTTAAAAAGAACTTTAAGCTCTAAACATTCAAGTTTTCAAACATTCAAATTTGTCCTGATGAAACTGATTATCAATTCTGTTTGTGTTCTTAACATTCATCTTTTTCCCAGTCCACCAGAAAATTACCCCAGTACATTTGCAAAGTTTTTTACAAAACCGCAGGAATGCATCATTCTCATTTTACACAATAACAAAGTGGCTATGTTGAGTACCTGTCATTTGAAACCAGCTACATACATGAACATAAATAAAAAAAAGGGGAGGACACGTCTGACCTCAAATGCCTATAAACAGAAAACAAAATACAAATTGAAAATAAAATTCCCATTCAGGGATAGCTTCTTTGAGATCACTCCCATGCCGATGTTAAAACGAGGTTGTGTTCCATCTCGAGGCATCGTCGGAGCAAAACCTGGAACATGTTTATCCTCCTGCATACTTCCTCAACATTGACAACCCAAAGTTTTTCTCCACGACTCAATGTCTGTTCAACTGATTTTGCTTGAAATCAAGCTTTGCTCTGTGTTGCCTCTTTCCGAGCAGCGTCCTGTAATAACTGTGTGTCGCACTCGTCTGCCGGCAGCTGAACGTATCGCACCACTGACCCTCGGATGAAACAGTTCTTCACAGAAAGCTGGAGACAGAGAGATGGAAAAAGCAGAAAGTATGGTGGCATCTCTACTTTTCAATCAAGCTAAACAACAATATAAATTACCTGCCAACCTTTCACAATGAAAATAAGGAATCTGCTTTGCCAAAATTAGGAATACAGTGTACATGTATGGCACATGTTTTTATACAATTTTTGCAGAAAACAAGAGAAACATTTGATTTATCACACTAGTTCCAAGAAGTGCTGTAGCCGAACCACGCCTGACCACGCTACGTCGCGATCGCAAGCCATATAAACAATAATACATGTGCGTGATCAAAACAGGTTCAGCTCAAACCCACTCAACAAAAAAAATAATATTATAATTGTAACCATATCGGACAAATTTTACAATATAAACAATGAAATAAATATATATTCTAGTATGGTATTTATTTATCCAGGGAAAATAGGGATTTTATATTTTTCCTATTGAAAATAAAAACTTATAAAAAAACAGTTATTGACAAGCCTGAGTTTCTGGTCAAGATGGCAGCTTTCATGACTCTAACATTAGAAAAAAACCGTCTCGGAAAATCTTTAAAAAATATCATTTATCGACAAATTGAAAACATGATTCTTTTAAAATTGAAAATAAAACATGATTCAAGACGGAAATACGAATGTAAGTAGTATTTTTCTACGCCAATAATTACGTTTAGAGCAGTTTTTTAATGTGAAATTTGTGCTGGTTGGAAGCATGGTGCAGAAGTCCTCCGTGTTGGTCGGGCCCGGCAGGGCGGGCAGCCCGCCCAGTGCCGACCACCGTGGCTATAATGCTGCTTGCTATTATATTACCGAACCCCGAACCGAACCAAGTTCGGGTGAAAAATTGCCGAACTCTGCCGAACCGAACCGAACACGAACATAGCATCTGACTTACAGCACTAGTTCCAAGACAGAAAACAGGAATCATTCCTCCAAAAAATAGGAATGCTTAGAAGCTATGATAGAAAGGTCAGTGAATTATCTTATCAACAAGAGTTTGTTCTAATTTCTAACAGCATTTTTTATAATGAGGTTCCAAGGTATTTGAGCAAATAGGCTTACCAAAGAATGGAAAAGCTCAAGGCAGGGCTGACATATTTTGTTCATCCTCATTCAAATCACAAATGAAATCAATATGTTTTAACAAATATATCATTCTATTCAATAACATAAAAAGATTAATGAAAAAATAGAAACCTGGCCAACTTAATGATGCAATGGCATCTCAATTTAAACACAATCACAAGTTGAGTTTATGAAATAAAAAAACAAGGAAATTTGCTATTTCAGCAAATATTTGATAACATTCCTGCCTTTCTAGGCAAGGGAAAATTAATTTTCTAGCTTCTTGTACAATTGTCCTAAACTTTGCCATCAATCCCTTTATATCTTCATCACATGTCTCTGCATGCAAATACTGGGCACTGTTTTATAAATTTTTTTATCAATAATAAGTTACAATACAAGCTACTAAAACTGGAATTTGATTGGTTGCGAGCAAATTTGTCACAGAAATTCAACTTTTGTTATTGTTTACAAGTCTTATGAAACAGGGCCAAGGTGTCTTTCTTGGTGATCTATCAGCTGACTTACCATATGTGGATACCTCTCTTGGTCTGTCACTGATATATCTGTCAGCTTGATGTTCAGAAACTGATCCACCGAATGGAGCGTTCCACCAATACTGAAGAAAAAGATTAAACCATTGATACATAGAAAAATCAACATCCAATCTTACAGAATATGTAATCTATATACAATCAAACCTGTCTTAGTGGTCACCTCTCTATAAAGGCCACCTGTCTACAGTGACCATGCATGTATTTTGTCTCCCTTGAGAGAGAGAGAGAGATGTGTGTTGTAGAATCTGTCTGCAGTTGCCACTTTTTCTGTTACCCTTGGGTGGCCTTTATAGACAGGTTTAACTGTACTAACATTGAGAACAGCTTAAAGGAACACAATCAAATGTCAATTATCCCTCTTTCTAAATACATGATTATAGAGCATAAACATAGTTGAAAATTTGGCTGTAAGTACTGGTAAACTGTTTGGGTAAGGCACTCAACCAACTCCAGTTGTGAAGAATTAATCAAGCCAACAATTATCATTTAGAACAATTATACAAATAAGATTAACCCTGTCAATAATGTTTATTGCCATTGACTTAGAGTTAGACTCTTAGTCTTACTCCTTTACAGGCATATCACAGAGTTGCCAATTTGCAAATCAATCACAACGTTAGAAATCTGTTTTTTTTTTTCTTCTCAGAGTTTTTAATGAACACCCCGAGGCATTTCCATATTTTCTTGCTGTAATTAAAGCCAGTTTGGAATTCAAAATTGACATGGCAGCCATAAGTGTTTGGGGCATATCTGGGCATTGGGAGCAATCAGCAATTCGCTCTCAACTTTCTTTATCATTATTACTGTTAGCATATTTTCTTCCATCTGATCTTGCAGGTTCAAAGAACTTTGATTACAATTATTTTACCTGAGATCATTCTTGAGCTCCACTATCACATCTTTGCCCACCAAGGACTTGAAGAAAGAGTAGAACAGCTGAAAATAAAGACACATAAAAGAACATGACAGGAAAGATGTTCACAATGCCCTGGAATGGGGCCCTATCTTTTTGCATCTACATGAAGGCCTATGTAGAGTCTACATACGTTTGTAGACTAGATGTAAATGCACCCTTTTCGGCCAGGGAGTTGTCAAAATATATTCAATTAGACAGTTGAGGAGACCGATGGTGAAAGAAATGTCGAGAACAAATTCAAAGAACTGCTTGCACAAAAACACTTTGTAGAGGAGTTTCAATGATAAATCATGGCTCTCTATTACTAGACTCACAGTATTCTAATAATGGGATAACGCACAAACTTTGTTTGATCTGGCATCAATTTTGATTTGACTTGACTTGAGAATGAGATCGCAATATCTCCAGAAATCTTTTTGATGATAAATTTTCTAATTCTAATTGCACCAAAGCCCAAGCCAAGGTCCAATTTGTAGTCCAGGGCTGCGTCTCACGAAACCGTCATAAGTACAAGTTGAGCGACATCCCATTGAAACGCGTGCTAAACTTAATACACACATTCCATGGGATGTCGCTCAACTTGTACATGTTGTACTTATGACGGTTTTGTGAGACCCAGCCCAGAAATTTTGCTGTCCAGGACAGCAAAATTTCCTGGGGGCCGTTTCTCGAAACCAACTCCATGACAGTCATATCTTTGTCGGCGACCTACGGAGATGTCATGAAGCGGATAAACCGTTTCACAAAGCCATGACAGACATGATATCGATATATCGCGATACTAGCAGCTCAAGAACATAGTCTTTGTCACGATCCATTTGATTTATGAAGAATAACCCAAAACAAGTTTTGGGGCTAAAATTGTTAAAAATAAAATATATAAATATAAATTCTCCTTAAATAAATAATAAATAGTGTCATTATCATATTTACATCATCAAATGATTTGCATATTTCTGTAAAGATTCTTAAATTGAAGAAAAACCGGTGAGTGTTTTTTTTTGACAGTCGAATAAAAAGTTAGTTGAAGGATACCGTAATGTGATAGTTTATCAATACATACTTTTTTGTTTATTGTGACGAAGAATTTTAGGCAAAATGTCTTTTCTCAGCCAGTTTTTAATTTTATTCTAGAGTCTCATAGATACTCGTTATATAATTGATTTGATATTGAAAATATAATTTGGAAGAAGTAATTAGAGAGGGAATAATAATGCACATAGGCCCCAAAGGTATGATGGTATCCTAAGAAAAGACTATGGATCGACTATGGAAAACGATTCGTACCTCTCTTATTTATATGTTATAGTTTAATGATTTGTGATTTAATGTTTATTTTCAGCTTTTTAAAGTTTCTGTATAATTTGTATTCTCACTTTTGTACATTTGCATTTCGCATCCCAGAGAATTACGTACCAAACTCGTCTAGACTCTATATTTTTCTCAAAATGATAGTGAAACTAATCGTCCATTTCGCGGCCCATGGAATGGCAACAAACTGAGTTGTGATGGCGCTTTACAGCAATTAAAAAGATATGACAGGTTCGGAGCAGTGACAACTCGCTTGTCACAGAAGTTGTCGCTCATCTTGGCAAAGACGGCTTCGTGAAACACTTAGCTGACAAGTTGCGCAACAGTGGCGAGATGTCGTTGATCTAGTTATGACCAGTAGGGGCGCTGGTCCGAGAATGAGGATCGTCCTCATATACAAGGATATCCTCATAAACGAGGACAAAATGCGTCCTCAAAAATAAGGGTTGTCTGCATTTTTGAGGACGTTTTTTTTCATCAGCGCTCTGGGGGTTTCATGTTACAGAACGGCCTGCTGGCGATGCCAAAAATGGATTCCCTGGGGGAAAATAACCCTAGTTCACCGTCTACTTTTATGGGTTGTCCGTCTTCCCAAGGATTTATTGCTTATAATGTGAAGGTCTCTGTACAATGTCAATGTAAAATGCATCAAGAAAATCATTGCAGAATCCGTTTTTTGGATCGCCAATGTGCCGATCTAAAATATGAAACGTGTCCAAAAATGCAGACGGTCCTTATTTTTGAGGACGCATCAGTCCGTGTTTACGAAGACGATCCTCGTTTATGAAGACGATCCTCATTCTCGGACCAGCGCCCCTACTGATGACGGTTTCGAGAAACGGCCCCCAGAAATGTGCTGCCCCTGCTTTGTATTTCATAAGAACTGAACTAGAAATTGAGAAATCATGGATCGAATACAACATTCATGATATTTTTTACAAATCTCCACAAAATATTATCATACTGCACTGCACTGCTAGCTGCTCAGCTCAGCAAGTGTCGTGCCGTGCCTGTGCTGTGCCATGGTGCATGGCATGCAATACAAGTGCAGCAAGCATACACATAATGAACACCTACGCCAGAGTTTCGGCTAAAATCGTAGGGAATGTCCGATGAGAGGCACAACCCACGAGTGCGGAGGGAAGGATTGGTAACTACCGCATCTGCACGATTTTACAGGTAAATGAATAACAACAACAGTAGCCGAAACATAATCATTAATTCACAAATATACAAAGTGTAATAAAAACTCAATTACATACCATTTTTATCCGTAAGATGTGAACTATTATGTATTAAACTTGATTTTGCCGCGGCCAAATGTCTTTGGAAATGATGATCACCACAAACGACTACACGCATGCGCAGATGTGGTAAAGAAAAGATTTTTGCACCAAGTGAAGCTAACGTAGATGTGACCTCCACAAAATGATAGAATTTCTTGCCTTTGAAAGTGTGATTTAAAGATAGTTTTGACTGTAAGTATGCCTTGATACTTTATGTAAATAAAATATTTACAAAAAATGTGATTTTTCATATTTTTCAGTGTAATAATAACTCTATTTTGTAGGATATTTTAAGGAAGTTATCACTTGTTTACATGGTCCCACATACTGATAGCGATGTTGTGTAAATAGTGCAGTGTGTAGCTGTCTTTGGCTTTGCTCAATTGTGCATTGTGTTGGTGTTGACATGTCAATGTTGGGTGACTGTGAGTGACAGTTGTGAATATAATGTCACCTTTTTTTAAATTTGTCTCTCATATATTAAAAAATTAACAATGTACATGTAATCAACGTAATTTACAGAGTCATAGCAGACGAGGTGACTCGACTAATGTTAATCAAATGAAAATATGAAATATAATTTAAATAATCCTTTGACTTTGTTTGTGGTGTTGGCATTAGACTATTGTGAAGTCTGAAGACAACAGTGCCACCACACGTTCATCCCAGTAGACATTGTAGAGTTTTATGTAAGTCTTCATTTCATGAAATATTTGCCTGTGATGATGTGGCCTTGTCTTGGTTTTACAAAACAGTGTCAATGTACTTTGTTGGTCAAGTTGGATTATCAAATTAGACAAGATGTACTGTAGATGTCTTTGACTTTTTCTTTGATATATTCTGTTTTAACCTTTCGACTCTGAGACATTATGGATCACGATTTTGGATAATCAGTTGCTAAAAGTTTGGACTCCTTTTTAGTCCCGGTAGCAATGCCTTGCATTCTGACATTGACATTTTAGATCTCAATGTCACCATCATTCCTTGTCGTTAAAATTGTCCAAATTTTCTTTAATTTTGGTATTAATGGATCCAATTTTTTTTTCACAATATGAAAGATCATGGATCAAAAAGTACATTCCTTAATATTTTAAAGCGTAAAAGCTCTATTATTATTCCAAATTGGATCTCATATATTCTCTATCCCGTTTGTCAAGTCATGTAAAAGTTTTTTTTTTTTTACAGTATTAACTGAAAGTGTGTCAACACAAAAGAGTTGGGCAAAAAGAGTTTGCAAGCCAACCTGTAAAGCCATCACAGTAACACACAATGAGATTTGTAGCCCTCTTACATGACTATTTCATAGAGCTATTCACTGAAAAATGACTCAGAATCCATTTTTGTTCTATGTGCTCAAGGAGATAAGAGAATGTGACTGTAGTGTTATCCCTATTTTTAGTGGATTACTTCACTTGATTACAGACACACTCTATTGTTCTTTCTTTGGAGAAGTGCCAGATTACTTACAAACTTCAGGGGACATAACAGGACTATTTTTTAGTGATACTAATCATTTTTCACCTTCAGAATCTTTATGAGTTTTTCTTGTCTTGTGTTTGACACCCAATGTAAGAAGTTGGAACTTTAACTATACTTTGGATTTTTTCCTTTTTGCAGTTATTCTAGAGTTGAGGTTGGATCATAGATGAATACAACAATGGCAGGTGCACAACAGGTGTTTGAGACGCAGCCCCAGCAGGCTAAGTTTGTCTACATATCAGATCGCCATCCCAAAGACACTCTTGAAATGACGAACATTCTCCGCAAGCAGCGCGAGCTCTGCGACGTCGTCATCAACGTGAATGACAAGAAGATCTATGCCCACAGGATAATCCTGTCAGCCTGCAGCCCTTACTTTCGAGCCATGTTCACCGGGGAGCTTGCAGAGAGCCGGCAGACGGAGGTCGCCATCAGGGACATTGACGAGCGTGCAATGGAATCATTGGTGGACTTTGCGTACACGTCCACGGTGACTGTCGAGGAGAGCAATGTACAGACTCTGCTTCCTGCAGCGTGTCTTCTGCAGCTGTCTGAAATCCAGGAAGCTTGCTGCGAGTTTCTAAAGAGGCAGCTTGATCCGTCCAACTGTCTCGGAATCAGAGCCTTCGCAGACACACATGCCTGTAGGGATCTGCTCAGAGTCGCCGACAAGTTCACTCAACATAAGTTTCTGCAGGTATAAATTAATTATTAACCAATGTCGTACCCTTATTTTGTAATCCTCTAGCAATACAAGGGGATATTTTTTAAAAATTTATTTGTATCTAATATTGAATCTGTAAAGTCTATGGACTTATTCATCTTATGCAGTAGCTCTAATCTTTTTTTAATTGCACCCATGTATGTGTTTATGACCTGGGTTCCATCCTTGGTAATAAGTTGCTTACATTATGATTATACTACGTTTATAATCCAAAAGTTTCTTCTTTATCATGAATTAGGCCACTTAATAGGTGTGCCCATAATTTGAGTTCATACTATTTTAATTTTGTTACAAACTTATTCATTTAATTGTAGATAAAAAAGAGAATATGGTCCCATATCAATACGTTGCTTGCACATGAACATCCAGATGAGAAAATCGAGGTCTGGCCTCTGGAGTAGTTGTATTTATGTATAAATGTGTATTGATATAAAAACATTCTTATCATCGTATCTCCTAGGTCATGGAAAGTGAGGAGTTCATGCTGCTACCAGTCAATCAACTCATGGAGATCATTTCTAGTGATGAATTGAATGTACACAGTGAAGAGCAGGTTTATAATGCAATCATCTCATGGGTCAAATATAACATTCCAGAGAGAAGAACACACTTAGCCGAGGTATGGTATTTCAAATTTCTACTTTTAAGTTGACCCCTTCATTACTAAGTCCACATTTTGTGGATCACTTCAACCTTTTTTATGCAAAGAACTTTATGTGATGAAAATGCAGCATATAGAGTACAAATTTCTTCACAACATTGGCCCATTTTAATATATTGCAGTGTATATCATTTAAAGAAAAATGATCATTAGATCTTTAAATTGATTACTGATTGAAACTGAGTTTCGGGACCACAATGTTGTTCAAGTTCAGCATAATTTCTCATGTATTTATCTTGCTATTTATAAATTTTGACAGGTTCCACCAATATTCATGAATTAAAGCCCCTCTGCACTAGTTTGGCCAGGAGGGATTAGACCTCCCTGCATGGTCACTGACAGGTGGTTATCTCATCAAATCAGCTCTCAATTAACATAAGAAAAAAGGGGACTAAGGGGGGCCAATGGTCACCGATTACGCATTGTTTGTTATGTAGAGGCCACAAGTAGCTACAAGTAGTGCAGTGAGGCTTTAAGATGTACTTTGCTTGGGAGAGATACATATTTCACATAATATACTCTTCTAACATTTTTTTTAAAGGTCTTACAACATGTGCGGCTCCCTCTACTGAACCCCAAGTTCCTGGTAGGGACAGTAAGCTCTGACCTGTTGATCCGGAGTGATGAGGCCTGTAGGGACCTGGTGGACGAGGCTAAGAACTATCTACTCTTACCTCAGGAGAGACCCCTGATGCAGGGTCCTAGGACCAGGCCTAGGAAACCAATACGGTGTGGAGAAGTGCTCTTTGCAGGTATATAGTTGATCATTGTTCCTCCCCCCTTTCCTCTCCCCAGACACATTCTATGTATTATGCATGTAGAAAAAAAAATGATTATGATCATGATGGATGATGTATGACCTTGAATTGTATAGAATGTTTATGTATTAGCTATGGCGAAGGGTGTACATGCGGAGAATCATATCATTAATCTTGGTTCATGACACATCCTTACATGTTGTCATCTTTGTGTCTTCTGAGGGGAAAAAAAGGAGTAGTATTTAGAGTTGGTAATAGCTCTGTATCAGGAGGCTATTGGATGACACTTTCTGTGGGAAAACAATCCCACTTTGTAGGTTCATAGAGGAGTAATAAAGAATAGTATAATAATAATAATAATAATAATAATAATATTCCGCTTATATATCGCTTAATACAAATGTCTTTTAGCGCTTTACAGATATACTACTACCCCGGTCATTGGATTCAGTGCTTGCCCGCACACACTGGGGAGCATTCCAGCCAGTCGCCATTTTACAAGCGCCACCTACAAAATCAAAACCAATTTCAGATTTAGACATACTGAGTAATACACTATAACAGAGTTACAGATCCACTTTAGTGTTTCTGTATGAAATGATGCAAGCTGTCAGATAATAGTTTCAAAATGATTTTGCATTTGCAAATAATCCCTCTCACTTGCATGGAAAGGCTAATTGAATTGAATTGTATTCTTTGTATTTAGTTGGAGGTTGGTGCAGCGGTGATGCTATCTCTAGCGTCGAGAGGTTCGATCCACAGAGCGGTGAATGGAGGATGGTAGCACCCATGTGTAAGAGACGGTGTGGTGTGGGAATCGCTGTGCTAGATGACCTCTTGTATGCAGTCGGAGGTCATGACGGGTCATCGTATCTGAATAGCATCGAGAGGTGAGTCATTCAAGCTCCGCTAATCTTGAGTGCTCAATGTAAATTGTAAACCTGGAATTTTAGGGGCTTCCAAACCATTTATTTTGTATTACATGCTTAATTTAGTTTGAAATGTTTGATTAAATTAAACTGAAGTGAACTGAGAACTGAAAATTGTTATCTCTTCTGATGGCTTTTCCTTTTACTCAAGCTCAGAATAGAATCAGAACAGAGAATACAAAACCATGAGGCTGAGGTACTATTAGAACCTAAAACGACAGTCAAGCTCAATGTGGTTTACAATAGCCCTCGTAGAACTTGAATCCTATCTCGCCTCTCTTTATTCAGAACTTTAATTTTCTTACTATTTACCTGTAATTGATATTGGCTATTTAAAGACATTTGGAAATTTTTATTGTTAAAGACCATATCCGAACTTAAAAATGAAATGGATGAATTATATATCAACGGAAAGCTTATAAGTCATATATTACAATAATATCAATTACATGCCAGTTTAGTGTCTGTTAGAGGAGTATCAGCTCTCTGAAAACTCAAAATCTAAAGCTTTGAAAATCAGAAGTTGTCTACCTGAAAACTTGCTAGTAACTTGTAATTTGGAGGGGTGTGGAAAATGAGGTTTTATTTTGCTTTTGTGCAGTAATGAAACGGTAAATAGTTTTATTCCTTTATATTTGTATTCTACATTCATTCAGTTTTCCGTTTATATCAAGTTGTATTTTCATTGGATCGGGTCATTAAGTATCATCCCCAATAAATCAACTTTATCTTCACTCATCAGATATGACCCTCAGACAAACCAATGGAGCAGTGATGTTGCGCCGACGAGCACATGTCGGACGAGTGTGGGCGTGGCAGTCTTGGACGGTTACATGTATGCTGTAGGTGGCCAAGATGGCGTATCATGTCTCAACATTGTAGAAAGGTACGATTCTTCTTATCTAAATCCTTCAATTCTGTCATAGATGCATACTGCTTCACACACAAATCACCACAGGCCACATTCTGTATCCTCTCCTTCCTATATTTTCTGTCTTCTTGTTAATAATATTCAGCAATTGAATTTGTGTATTTCCAAGTATGGTAAAATCCTTATCACATACCGTACATGTATATATTAAAATGTATGTATTATGCATCCAAACAAAGCCAATTATTGTTGATATTGAGACTAAAGACACTAATTGAATTATAAATTCTTTCTCCAAGACCTTTCAAAGGCTGGTGATCTAGGGCATCTCGCTTCTTCAGTTTGAGTTTGAGTTTGAGTATATTGGTTTCACATTTCACATGCAGATACAATACAGATAACAAAATATACATAAAAGACATATTATTTCATAATTTAAAAAAATGATTATAGTAGTTGACAAATTAATCAGACTACAAAGTAACATATCATCAAATATCATCTTGTATAACGTCAAAGCGTTTAATCCCTTTTAGATACATTATCATCTTTATACACAACTAATATCTGTACAACTATCCACAAAAATGTTTTTGCTTTTCCTAATAATCTTTGTTGTGTGTTTGCTTGGATCGATTTCAGATATGAACCACACGCGAACCGTTGGACAAGAGTAGCTTCTATGAGTACCAGAAGGCTAGGAGTGGCTGTAGCTGTCCTAGGTGGCTTCCTCTATGCTGTAGGTGGATCAGATGGTACATCGCCTCTCAATACAGGTAGGTGTATATCAGACAGTAGGTGTAACGGTTGGAGAGGCTTCCTGTTTGCTGGAGACGGATCAGAGAGGACTGCAGATCAATTATTACTTTACCACTTCATGCTCTAGAGCAAATTTTGTACAAGAGATAAACAATCAAGTTCTTAGTTTGAGGCCAAATATACAGTGCGTCCCAGAAAAATGAAACCGAGAACTATAAATGTTTTTTTCATAACTGAATTAATAATTTACACATATTTGTAAAGCTTAGATCCTCCTCTTTCATTTGATGCAACTCATATGATGCATGAAGTCTTTCGTCTTCTAGAAATGTGATTTTCTCTTTGAAATTCAGATACCGGTCGCTAAATGACTTTTTGTACCCTTTCTTCAAATTGTTTTTAATCACTCATGTATGAAAAATGTATCATATGAGTTGCATCAAATGAAAGAGAAGGATCTAAGCTTTACACATATGTGTCATTTATTAATTATAATTGTGATTAAGTTATGATAAAACATTGGTAATTCTCGGTTTCATTTTTTTGGGGACGCACTGTATAAGTTCCTTTTGGAGCCTACACGTGTATGTTACTACTTAATATCTTATCACCCCCAAAATCAAAGAAATAAACAAGAAATTACCAAACATTCATTTTCTTTTTTGTCCAGTTGAAAAGTACGATCCTCGAACAAACAAGTGGACTCCGGTGGCACCGATGGGTACGAAGCGCAAACATCTAGGATGTGCAGTCTACAATGACATGCTGTATGCGGTGGGTGGAAGAGACGAACAGACTGAATTGAGCAGTGCTGAGAGATATGATCCTCTCTCCAACACGTGGAAACCTATAGTCGCTATGAACTCGAGACGGAGTGGGGTAAGTTGATGATGTTTTAAAAATTGGCGTTCTTACAACCTTGTGTTTTATTTATCTCTTGATGTAAAACACATTATCCATGGTCACTGGTACAATTACAATCTTTATACTGGGGAGTGTTTCACAAAGACTAAGCTCGACTTTAAGTTGGATTTAACTATAGCAGGTCATTCATGCCTCTGGTTGCTCTCCCTATTGGTCTCTCTATTATGTTCTTTAGATAATATTTTTACCTTCAATATAATGAACCATCAAAAAAATGTAAATTCTGTAGATTTGTGACCATGATTTGTTTGTCCCTTGAGAGACCAATGCCAGTAAACGGTGAGAGCAAACAGTGGCATGAATGGCTTTTCATAGTTAAGTACAACTTAAAGTCAATCTTAGTCTTTGTGAAACACTCCCCTGTTTTATTTTCGATGAATATATGTACCTGTCTCCTAGCTTGGTTTTAATTCTGCACCCCCTCCCCAAATCATGATCTGATTCGTAGAGATTGATAAGGAAAGTATGATGTTCTAGAAGATGAACAGAAATTTAAGACCTCCTACTATTTGATATATTAAAACAATTAATGACTTTTTTACTGTGATAGTTGTAAAATTACTCAAGCAATTAAGAACTGTAATCCAGTTGAAATACAAATACTGTGATTTATATTCCTTACTTCCTAGCAGGTATTATTGGTGTTACTTTAAAGCCTATCTGCACTAGTTTGGCCAGGAGGGATTAGACCTCTCATTAAATCAGCTGTCAATTAACATAAGAAAAAGGGGACCACGGGGGACCAACAGGTACCACTTTGTTGGCTATATAGAGGGCGCAAGTAGCTACAAGTAGTGCAGTCCCGCTTTAATAGGATGTGTTGCTCAAAATGCTTGTATTTTGCTGCTAAAGTAGATCTTTATTTTGTTATCCATCTCATGATCTGCCTAATGTGATATTATCCCTGTCATTTTTATAACGTTATCACTTTGATTGCCTACCAGGTTGGACTTGCTGTAGTGAACGGTAGACTGATGGCCGTGGGTGGGTTCGATGGCACCACGTACCTCAAGACGGTAGAGGTCTACGACCCGGATACCAAATCATGGCGTATGTGCGGCAGCATGAACTATCGGCGATTGGGAGGAGGTGTCGGGGTCGTCAAACTTCCTCAATCGGAATCCAATGTTTGGTAGCACAGGACTATTTCAGACTTTTTTTCTTCTTTTTTGTTTTTTCCAGAATGTGTGTTATATGAGCTGTACGTTCAGTGTAAATCATGGCGTATGTGCAAGCAATGAACTATCGCCGATTGGGAGGAGGTGTCGGGGTCGTCAAACTTCCTCAATCGGAATCCAACGTTCGGTAGCACAGGACTTTTTCAGACTTTTTTTCTTTTTTTACCAGAATGTGTGTTATATGAGCTGTATGTTCAGTGCAGTTTAGCGCAGTATTATAGGGTGTAGGTATTTCACAGATCGTCTACTTGGAAGCAAAAGGATGTTAGCTTAGTGAGTGGGAAAATGACTTAAAGGGGATGTAGCATGGCAAATACTGGTTAACGCCATCTACGACTTCTTTTGGACAACTGCATTTTAATGAATGGACTTATGTTGTTCGCGAAACAGACCAAAATATCTCCACACGCTTCGGTTTCGCATATGGAACACGCACATGAATATTGCGGTCGCGTCATCCGTAGTCGTATTATACCCGATTGGCTTCGAGTCAGGCCACGATGGGAAAGACAAGTAGTCTCGTCATGCTACACTCCCTTTAATGTCCTTCTGGCCTCCGAGCTTATGATGTATTTGTTGCATTGGAGATGTTACTCTTGGATATTGACCCAGTTCACCCCTCCTGGTGTAGCTGACTGATTGAAGGAACCATTTTTTAGCGACCGTAGAAGAATTGCGCCTCCCAAGAGAAGATGTACCTGACAAGTGTGTCAAGTCAAGTTGATAGCCCTAGTAGAGCTCAGATCAGATCACCAAACTCGAAGGGATATGATTATTTGAAAGCCATACTGTACTAGAAGCACGACTGCAAAATCCCCTCTAGTGACATCTCAGGTCAGCTGTAACAGTGTGGTTCCGTAATTCGCTGCTTCCCTAGCTGCGCTTTTGGTTCTTGCATTGAGTCCTACGTCTGCAAAGTGGGAATTAGGTTTCGGGTCACGCACTGTTGGCAAGTTGACTATGAAATGGCACTGCAGTAAACTGTATGCTATGGCAGGAAGTTAATCAGTTCAATATCTCTTTAATCAGGGATGCCAGTTTTCAGGCAATAGCCTGAATTCAGGCCCTGGCAAGTTATTTTCAGACCATAGTTTAGGCATTTTTGTGTACAAAATAGCTCATTCTAGGTGATTTTCAGGCCCTCTGATCAATACTAACTGGCATCCCTGTTTAATGCATATTCATCTACCATTATACCTGGTAATATATGTGGGTAAACACCTTAGATTTGCCCTTAAAAGAAACACTGTTGAGTTACACTTTCAGTTGACAATTACTGCTTTTCGAAACAGTTGATCGTTGAAAGTGTTTGGTATCATCACATTTTGTAGTATTTTACTAACAACAAATGCAGCAAACATGATTAGATATACACGCCTACATGTTCATGTCTATGCATTTATCAATGAACATACAGGCACCTGTATATATCATGCCATTCATTGTGAGCACAGATAAGATGATGCATAGTATTACTTTAATTTAGGAAGCATAGTAGATAGAGAGCTTAGTGTACATTACAAACCATGTACATACAAATGAGATAGAAATTTACGTGTAAATATTGTGAATAAATCACTGGAAGAGTCAATTGTATTCAGTATCATATTAACAAAGAAAAAGCAAGAAGATTTGTACTGAAAACAGTAAATATTGTTTCTTTCTAAAACCGTAGACACTCTTGGTAGATAAGTTGTTTTATAATTCACACTGCAAATTTTTAAAGGGGTGTGTGTGATAACGTTTCTGTATTTTTGTTATTGTTATTGTTGTTGCCATTGTCTCTCCATACTCTCTCCTTTGTAGACTTTTCTTATATAACATACACTTGCCCTGTAAGTTTTCCGATAAAGGCAAAGCTTTTGTTTAATATTTATGTTATCAAAAAGCATTTCATTGACTTTTGCAGTAGTTTGTCTCTAAAATCTATGACATTTAAACACTAAAGGGGATTTTTATTTGATTTGAATAGATAAATAATAATGATAATACACAAGATTTATAAAGCACCATTATCCATTCTAACTTAATGCTCAAGGCGCTGCTATTAAAAGGAGAAGATCTGTCATATTTGTCTGAACTTCATAGAGGTCAGTACCTTGTGTATGTGTTTATACAATTCCATCTATAATAGTTTTGGAAATGACTTACCATGCATAGATGAAATGAGCAAAATCCACTGCAAAGTTTAAATCCAGTTTTCTTGCTTTACCAAGTTTTGTTAAGACTTACAGCGTGTAGTCTATTCTTAAGAAAACAATTATGAATTTCTCTTAAAATTTGCTATTTCTGTGCTGCAATGTGTAATAGTGAAATTAGAAAAGAAGAAGAAAACTTTTGTTTGGCCATTCTTCTAGAATTTTTTTTCCTGCTTTTTTGAGAAGGATGAATTAATTTGGTTTTTGCTTGATGTTTGGGACAGGAAAGTTTAGTAGATCCTTGATTTCTGCTTGTAATGGAATTTTTAATATCACCCATACTACCAATATCATACAACTATTTTTTTTTAATACCGATACATTGATTTTGTTTCTTCTCAAGACTTGTCTTTAGCATGTAGCAAAACATGCATTAATTAGTAAGAGCATGTTTGTTTATTGTGCAATAATTCTACCTTAGTAAACCTATCTTTCATCGCTCACATGTACCTGTACATGTACCTGTATATTCATATATTGTATTTATCACTTCTTTTGTAGTCGTTATCACCCCAAGAGATTGTCAGTGTAAGGGTTCGTTCAGATATGATGCAGCAAACCACCGCAAAAAAATGTCTTAATTTGTGTAAATGAATGGCAACTTCGTGTAACAAAGATCCTGCCCTTCTTCACTGATCTCTGTGTTATAACATACAGAAATGTGAAGTGTAGTATTACACTTAGCATCATCATAACAAAACATGAGTAGACTACATGTATGTCTTTCTCTTGAATCCCCAGAAAAGTCAGAGCCAGACCAGTGAGACGCCAATTGTTAGCCTCATTGGCCATTGATTAATTGGTCTGTAGCTCTTTGTTGTGATCACCCATTTCTTGTTTCCATGACATTTATCCATGGAAATGTGGTATTCCTCTCTGATAATTTTGTTAGTCTATTGGTCCTTTCATAACTAGGTAACGTTAAAGTATTAATAGTTTCAATTTTCAAAATTTTGTCTCCTGAAATAAATCCTTTTTTTCCCCAGTAACACACCTTATATGTATATTGTACTTGTTTTTTTGTGTTAATTTTTCAGCACGGTTAAGTTTTGTAGCTGGAAATTAATGTCCAAAGCTTTGTGGCTGAAAAAATATCCATTCCATGTCATGTTAAGATTTTTTACAAATTCGTTCTTGTGGAAAGTCAACCTTCACTAATTTGTGTGAAGATGAATGCTGCTTAGCTTTTTAATATAGACCATCAAAAATAAAAACAGTAACAGTTGTAAATGTAATTGATAAGAGCATTATGTACAGTAATGAAGCATATTATGCCAATTTTAGATGTATAACCCGCATTCTAGTCAAGGTTTTGATTTGATATGAATTATAGGAGTATACAGCATATTTCCTTTCCAGGACCCTGTCTCGTAAACCTTGTTATCCATAACAAATGCTCGATTTCTATGACAAATTTGATCTCAGCCAATCAAATGCCTCGATCTAAGTAGCTCATAACAGTTATTGTAACTAGTTAATCTAGAAAAGGATAAAGATTATCACATACTGGTATGTTAAGGTGAGAATGATGGGCAGTGGTGTGATTTTAGATTAGCAAAATGATTTTTTTTTTTTTCCTTCTCATCTTCCAATGTGTGAATTATTCATTGAAATGCAAATTTTATTAATGAATCTTGTTCAAATACTCCAAAATAATTGTAATTCATTTCAGAGAATTTTGATTGGAATTTTGATGATATTTTGTTATGCTTCCATTACAAATGCAAAGTCAAATCTTTAAAAGTGTTAATGCAATTGAAGATTAGCTTAGAAATAGTAGAGAAAGCTCTATCATAGCTTCGAGCAAGTTCGTGCTGAATAGTGAATTCTTTCATTGTTACATTTGTTAGGATACTTAAGAATTAGAGGTGAATATTGTGAGAGAAAAAAAACTATGCCATTTTTTGTGAATTGAATTTAATTTGTCCAATTTTGTATGTTCTTAATTATTATTTAGGTGAGACCTACAGATATACAAATGTACACTTTTGTTTTGATTGTCTAATTTTCAGTTGTGTTATGAAATTTTGTATTTCTTCATCCTTATAAACTTGCCAAACATGTATCATTCATTTAATGTATAAATACACCCCAAAGAAGATAACATTCTTGATCATGTAACTATAATATTTCATAATCTAAAATCATTTTGCATTTAAACTCTACATTCTAAATTCATATAAAACTAACAATACATCATCTCCTTATAAAAGAAGTGATCATTTATGTGCAAATTTGAATACCGGTAAGGAAAAGGGAAGAAAAGAATCTATCCGGTAGTCATATATTCTGTGGTGAAAACGTCTTAACCAACAGTTTGTGTACAGTCTTATGCACATTACCACAAGAATGTTATTGTATATGTAGCGTATTAGTTATTTATTTATCTCTGTCTAATTCATTGAGAAACTGAACATGACAAGGTGTGAGAAAAATGAGAATTGTATTATTCTGAATAAATGAACAAAAATGTATTTTTACTGTGCTCAAAATGCTTTCATTTCGAAGAGAATATAATCTTCTGGTACATGTACACAGTTTCATTATTGTTTATTGTAAGGTGTTTTTTTTAGAAGCGTTTCAATCATATATTACCGTTTGGGAGCCTCTTGAAGTCTTTAGGAGTCCTCTGGAGTCTTTTGGGCCATTCTTATACAATGTACATCCCCATTCAACATTGTCAGTCTGGTAATAGGCCCAGAATCTTATGAATCCCATGAGGGATATTTGAGGGATATTGCATGGAACTATAAAGCCGACAGCCGTCTCTGTGTTTTGTTTATAAACATAGTTCTTATATCATATTGAGATACATGTTTATTTCATTTATAAACTATTACTTTAAAGTATATGCTTAACTGTTCAAACTACTTGTTGTCAGGGGACCTGTATTGTACATGTATATCTTGATTATTGCTTAAACTCCATCCACTTTTGTAAAAGAAAGTCATATAAAACACAGCCTGTATTGGGAATGCACATGTATGTAATTTATCTTGTATTACCAGTAGCTCCTATCTAAAATCTGTTGTAAAAATATTTTAATTTACAGATTTGACCTCAGGTGATATTCTGACAAGGATGTTATATTTTAAGTGAATGTTAGCTGTCAAAACAATTCAAAATTAGTACATGTCATTCATTTTTATCTGCGCAGAGATAGCTGCACTCTCGTAAAGTTAAGAGAGATCTGCGCAAGCACCAATGGTTAGTTTGTTATTGAAATTGACTATTATTGAAAACATTCTTCTAATGCAGATGAAGTTGTTTCTGAATTAAATCTCCCCAGAAGTGTCCACATTTCAACCAAATTAAAAAACCAGTGCTGGGTTTCAGTCAAGCCCAGATTTAGTTAATACAATTGGAGCTGTTTAGACTGAGGAGTTGGTTGTTTTATTCAACGCATCTTTGACCAGTGACGCCCTTTTTGTACAAAACTTTTAATTGATAACATCTTTTATTTATGTACCAACTTTGCAATGATTTGAGTAGCTAACAATGGTTACTGTATCTTGTTATTGATATCAAGTTGTATAAAAGGAGGCCCTGATTTAGACCATGTGAGTGTGGTATATACGGTATTGTTTAGTAGTGTGAAAGGACTCAAGTCTTGTATGGACTGCTCAGGATTCTATGAACTGCTTTATTGTTCCACAAACTACATGCTTCAAACTATGTCAAATAAAGCACCTACATGTATTAAAGTGCTAGATCACAGGGGTTAGGGAAGGGAGGGGGGGGGGGTGGACCATGTGATATTGATATACATGTGTAATTTGAAATGGAATGAAAAGGAAACTGTGATGCATATACATGTACCATGTGATGTTGATAATGATATACATGTAATTTGAATGTAATGTATATTCAACATGGGTTGTTTGGATAGACAGAGAAGCATGATATGGAAGATGGAATAAAGATATACAATATGCATAAACTTCACGTTGCCGTGGTTGTAGTACATGCTGTCCAATTTGTTGTCTTGAGATGTAGTTGCAGAAGATATCAGAAGAATGCAATAGTTGATATATGATGGAATGGAAAATAAATGTGACAGATTGAGAGAGAGGATATATAGAGAGAGAGAGAGAGAGAGAGAGAGAGAGAGAGAGAGAAAGAGAGAGAGAGAGAGAGAGAGAGGGAGAAGGAGAGAGAGAGAGAGAGAGAAGGAGAGAGAGAGAGGGAGAGAAGGGAGGGGGAGTAGCAGAAAGGAAGCAAGGTCAATGAGGATGGTAGCAAGTATTAAGGGAGAGAGAAAGAGTGGGGAGAGATAGAGATTGAAGGAAAGAGCACACAAAGAAGAGAGGGGATTGAGTGTGAGATGGTAGAAAATGTAAGGCAAGACCAAGAAGCATGCAATGGAGAGAAAGAGGGTAATAAGTAACAATGAAAAGAAAAGAGAAAGAGAAGAACAGTGTAGACACAAGAGGTAACTTTGTAGGCCGGGAGGGACGAGGTTTATATTATGGTTGCAATAATTTCAGAAAATCTGTTCACTATAATTTCCCTACCTTAAAGGTACTATGTCCCATTTGCAGGCCAAAAAATGAAAAGGTTAAATTCCAACGGTATTTGAAAGATAATGCTAATTTAGAACTTCCCTAAAAAAAAAGGAGGCTTGAAAATGTCTTCAAGTGGGAAAATAACGACTATTAGTTGTCAAATCGACTTAGGAGCTATAGAGCCAATAAGTAATAATCTTGATTTTCAGACCATTGTACCAAATGGTCATACGTTTTATGCTGCGCAAAGATTCAATCAGTTTAATTTTGGCCATTACAAGAAGTGGGTTATTGATGTAGACAAATGCTCTTGTACCCTTTACAGCTCATTACCAAAGAAGGAAAAAAAAGCCAGTCAGTCACTCAATAGTGTCTGTCAGTGAAGTCTAGCAAGTAAACAGCTTTCTTTGCATAATTTGAATATTAGGACATTGCTAATGTTTAAATTTCACAGATAGGACATACATGACATATTCATAATTTCTGCAAAGTTCTACAGAATTTGAGGTTGGCTGCAAAAGGGACATAGTATCTTTAAACTACTGCTTACATAAATACTGCACAGCCTATGTGAGTTATCTAATGTTATGTGGGCACAACTTTGCATTGCATTTAGTTATTATCTAAGCAATTTTCTGAAAAAGTTTGCAACCCAACTTGTATAAAACTCACCAGCCATTAAAATTAGGTCAGCACACAGGATACAGGTGATACTTTCTACATTTATTTATTTACATACATGAAACAACAATGTACATTTCTTACAATAACTACAAGCACATTATGAATATATGCTCAAAAATACCTATCAGCATTTCAACACTGGTATTTTCTATATGAACGTCTTACATCTCATATTGCATTAATTTCACTAAATTATATCATGGGGTTTCATTTTTCCCTTCCAAACACCGAAAATCATGAAATGATTTCTTGAAGATCAAACTCTAACACTATAACCAACCAACCCTCCC